TCCTCCACAACTAGACTGAAGAACAAAAGGACCGCAACTTGTCTGTTCCCCTCCCCCGATTCCCCAACGCTGTTCCCTCCCCCAATTCCCCAATAAAATCTTTTAATAAAAGAATATACTAGGAATGAAGTTAACCAAGGAGGTAGCAGACTTGCACACTTACTGTATACTACACACGAGGCTGAAAAGAAATTAAGACAAAAATAAATGGAAAGATGTCCATGTTCATGGAATGGAAGACATATTCTTAAGATGTCAATATCACCCAAAATGACCCAATGCAATCCCTATCAAATTCCCAATGATGTTTCACACAGAATAAGAAAAACCCATTCTAAAAGTCATATGGAGTCTCAAGGAACCCCAAATTGATAAAACAATCTTTAAAAAAGAACAAAGTTGGAAGATTTACACATCCTGATTTCAAAACTTGCTACAAAGCTATAGTAATCAAAACAGTGTGCTACTGCATAGGGACAGATAGACCAATAGAATAAAATAGAAAGTCCAGTAATAAACCTTCACATATACAGTCAATTAATTTTGACAAGCATTCCAAGACCATTCAATGGAGAAAAGACTGTCTTTTCAACAATTGGTGATGGGAAAATTGGAAATTCACATGGAAAAGAATGAAGTTAGATCCTTCCCTTACACCACAGATAAAAATTAACTCAAAATGAATCAAAGGCCTAAATATAAGAGCTAAACTGTAAAACTCTTAGAAGAAAACAAATTAAAAACTTCATGATGTTAAATTTGGCAATGATTTCTTGCATATCACACCAAAAGCACAGGCAACAGAAGAAAAAATAAACTGGACTTTACCAAATTAAAAAAGTTTCTGGATCAAGTAATGCTATCAAGAGTAAAAAGGCAACCCATAGAAGGGGAGAAAATATCTGAAATTGAGAAATTTGATACAGAATTAATATCCATAATGTATAAAGAACTCCTAAAACCCAACAAAAAATAAATAATCCAACTAAAAATGAGCAAAGAACTGGAATAGGTATTTCTCCAGAGAAAATAGTCAAATGGCCAATAAATTTACATGAAAATATGTGCTCAACTATACTAGGAAAATGCAAATCAAATCCACAATGAGATACCACTTCACACCCTCATAACAGTTGTTATTTTTATAACAAGTGTTGGTGAGGATGTGGAGAAACTGGAACCCTTGTGCATTGTTTATGGGAATGTAAAATGGTGCAGCTGCCACGAAAAAGTTTGGTAGTTTTTCAAAAAGTTAAATACAATTAGTATAATACAATCCAGCAATTCCATTCTTCCTTATATGCCCCAAAGAACTGAAAGCGGAGACCCAAACAGATACTGTACACCCACGTTCATAATAGCATTATTCACAACAACCAAAAGGTTGAAACAATCTACTGTTCATCAACAGATGGATAAAGAAATGTGGTATATACATACAATGGATATTAATCAGCCATGAAAAGGAATGAAATTCTGATACATGTTACAACATGTAAACATTATGCTAAGTGAAATAATGCAGGAAAAGGAAAAATAATTATTTGTTTTCTACTTAGGAGGTAGCCAGAATAGACAGATTCATAGAGAAAGAAAGTAGAGCAGAGGGCCAGCTGAGTGGCTCAGTTGGTTAAGATCATGAGCTCTGAGCAACAGGGTCACCAGTTCAATTCCCACATGAGCCGGTGACACTGTGCCTGAGCTGAGCTGCCAACAGGTGGTACGATGGCTCAGCTGGTGAGAAAACATGCTCCTAACAACAATGCTGCCTGTTTGACTCCCACATGGGATGGTGGGCTACGTCCACACACAACTAAGATTGAACACGGCACCTTAAGCTGAGCTGCCCTGAGCTGCCGACGGGATGGCGACTGGACTTGGAGCTGAGCTAGGTGCGCCCTCCACAACTAAGATTGAAGGACAACAACTTGTGTGTTCCCCTTCCCCAATTCCCCAACACTGTTCCCCTTCCCCAATTCCCCAATAAAATCTTTTAAAAAAAAGATAGAGCAGAGGGTGTCAGACACTGGGGGAGGGGAAGTGGAGTTACTGTTTAACGGGCACAGAGCTTCTGTTTGGGATGATGAAAGAGTTCTAGAGATGGACAGTGGTGATGGCTGCATGACATGGGGAATGTACTTAATGACACTGCATTGTACACGTAATGGTTAAAATGGTGAATTTTATTATATGTCTTCCCTCAATTTAAAGACACTAAAAACAAAATAAATACATGCAAGTTCTACTCTATACTGAATAAGTAGATTTCCACAACTCATCAGGAGGCAGTATAGTGTAGCGCAGTGTGAGAGATGACAGGCTCTGAGCTGCACTGCCCGGGTCAGTCCTGACTGCCCCCTCATAGCTGTGTGACCTCGGGCAAGCTGCTTCATCCCTTTGATTAGAGTCTCCACATCTAAATGAAGGTATCTTTCTCATAGGATTGTTGTGAAAACTAATGAGTTAATTCACACAAAGCATGATAGCCCTTAGAATGAGTTAATTCATATAAAGCAATGATGCAAAGAGATCAATAAGGATGAACTCAGTAGCTATCTAAATCCATCAGCCACATATTCAAAATGTAATATGAAATGCCTTTAGTCTAAATCTATTTTGGTGTTCAAATTCAGAAAAATATCTAATGATAATCAGTAAATTCTCAGATACACATGATCAGAAACAGGTTTTATCATTTTATTTTGATTTGTCAGCTCTATGTGCTTTTCTAGTGTCTACAGCTGACCCTTGAACAACATGGGTTTGAAAAGTATGGGTCCATGTATATGTGGATTTTTTAATACTATTAAATGTATTTTCTCTTCTTTATGATTTTCTTAACATTTTTTTCCCTCTAGCGTATTTTACTGCAAGACTACAGTATATAATACATATACAAAATATGTTAATTGACTGTTTATATTATCAGTAAGGCTTCTGGTCAACAGTAGGCTATTAGTAGTTAAGTTTTGGGGGAGTCAAAAGATATACACAAATTACAGGATTTTCAACTATGTGGTGGGGGGTGGAGAGGCTGGCGTCCTGTGTTGTTCAAGGGTCAGCAGATTTCAGAAGGCAGCAAGAAACAGTATACATCCTTCACAGTACTTCCCTCCACTTATCATTAATTTGCATGATGAAGAATTCCTTCAATTGACTATGAATCATGTGAATTTCTTATTTAAGTTGCAGCTACTAAGAAACTTAAATTTACAGACAGCTCATAGTGGTTTGTTTGCTCTAAAATTCATACTGGGAACTCATTTCTGTTATACATTTCTACTTAAAATTTGAAAAATATTTTGTCTCAAAGGAACACTATATACTTACCAACTGAAGATAGAAATCAGTAGGACTGTTTATATGACAAACCATGACTGAAACATCTGTCATTTCTTTAGGCAAAACAGGTGGGTGATAGTGTAAAGTCATATTTTTTCCAGAGTGACTTCTTGGTAATTGTGACCTAAACCTAATTAAAAGCATAATTAAAACACAAACAAGAGCCATTTTCTTAGTCTCTCTTCTCTCAGTGGCTTGATCTGAAGAAAGTACTTGGACATATACTGATTTATCTGTCAAGAGTGTTTCCTTTCCAATTGTTATCCTCTGATTATCAAACCAAGTTAAATAAGATGCCAAGTCTCAAAACTCAATAATTAACCTCCAAATTTGTGTTGGAATATTTTTGAGCTGGATCTATAGGTTCTACTCAAGCGATTCAAAGTTTCTAATCTTTGGGTGCACTTGATACCCACAGTATGTGGTAGCACTCAGTAAGGCCAGCTGAGAGGTTTCTGTGGCCTCTCCCAGCTCCAAGACAGCTTTTATTGTTCCAGAAGGGAGCCTACTTGGTTCACTTCCAGAGTCATGTAATCGCTCAGGACAAAAAGTTAGTATCTCCCAATGTCTCTATGGATAGTCAACTTTGTTCATCAGAGATGAGGGAGGAAAGAATTTAAGTTTCTAGGTTCATATGTTAAATAGAATGGTTAGAAATTTTAAGTCAGGAACTGTTAAACTACAATTCTTGAAACCCAAGTGGAGCTGCTTGCAAGTTATCAATAGTCTAAAAAAATGTTCAGTATGTACAATTAGTTTCTATTTGAGCTATCTTAATTTCTTGATATCCTTAAATCAAATGATCTGTAGTTTTCATAGACAACTGTAATTAGAAAACTCATAGCAGTATTTTCAACCTCTTGGAGTATGCTGAGGTTCACTTTAGAGCCCACAGTTTTTAAAGGTAAAATCTGCTATTCCAATTTACAGCTATTATCTCAAAAATATTTAAGGTTTAGTACCTTATAAACCTAACTTAATATTTAAGTTACCTACCTTGCCAGTTCCATAAACACTAACGCATCTCTAAGAGACACAGGCATATCACTGCTTATTTTATTTGTTGGTGGTTTCTGCAGGTCTACAATAAGCACACCATCTTCTTCTCTAAAAACTTTCATTAAAACAGCCTTGTTATTTACCATTTTCAAAAATTCTACTTTAGCTTCTTCTCCCCAGCCTTCATTCTGTGGAAAAAGTTAAATTCTAAGGTACTGATAATTAGTTCTAATGGTATAATGCTCTGGGTTTAACTTTATACCAACCAAAGTATGCAAATTTGAGCAAAGGCATGGAACCAACCATAGATACTAAGCAGCAGCTGGGGCCACAAACCCAGGACAGTCTTATGTATGCATGATGTATGGATCATACTTTGATTTTATAAATATAGCCTCAAGGTGTCCATAAGCTGCTCCACTTTAGAATTTAGTTTCACTTCTGGATATTAGTATGAAGATTATAAATAAAGATTTTAAAATAAAACAAGTATTAGATAAGAAATGATGAAAATTCAAAAGGTAAATCTGAAAGTATAGTGGAAGCCATGTAACACAATCAAGATATTTATAATCATCATCAGTTAAATTAGTTTTCATTACTAACAAAATATGAGGTATATGCTACTTAAACAATAAAGAAAAGTATTCACCCATTGGAAAAACAATTTTTTAAGTTGATCTTTGAAACTTTGAGTTTACCTATACCTAAAATAAATTTCAAGGGTCAAAACTACACTTCCTTAAAAACAAAAAAAATAAAACATCTTTCTAAAGAGTGTATGAGTATAAAAGTATAGCCTACTCAGAATAAAAGACAAAATTAAAAACAATTTTACCATTTTGAGGAAAACACCAGATGCTAATATTTTTGTGGTTTTTTAACTCCTTTATTCATTCTTTCAAATATCTGTTGAATGCCTACTATGTGCTACACCTAGGCAAAGACACAAACTCCTGCTTTCACAGACTTTATAATAATATAACTGCTTAACATATATTCTTACACACAATTCCTGTCTCCCAGGAATTTTCTATATTTCTGGGACTATCTAGATAGTCATAAATAATATGAAGCAGAATACAATATGGGCTATAAGCAATGAATAAAGTATCATGGAAATAGTGAAGAAATGTATAGAAACACAAACCATGCCATATTTTAATTTCTCTCTCCATATTTGACTCCAAAATTTAGTGGCTTACTTGGTTATTTCACCTGTTAATACATTATATAAGCTTATTTAACTCAATTTCCCATTAAGAACATTTCCAATTGTGGAAACTGAAGTTCGTTTTCTTTTTTATTGGCACCTATTGGTTTACTATGCAAAATGTAGTCACCAAAAGAACTGGTGCCTTGAAACTACACTCAGCAACCTGGTTTGCAATACCTAGCTAAAACTGGAATATTTAGTCCCCAAAGAAGAAATAATTTAAGTTTCACTTACTGAATTCTGTGGAACAATGTCCTTCAATGAGCATCGCTGTGCTAATGGCTGGGTGTCTTCCAGCAGTCTTTCAATATATGGTTCCGACTTCCTCAGAACCAGACATAAGTCACTTAGTACTACACACTGCTCAGTACTATGTTCTGCTCTCACATGGGTATCACCAACTCTAGGAAGAATTCAAGTGACATTTATTGAAAACAATGCTTCAAACCCACACTTGCTTTTCCCCCATAAAAGGTATACATTTCTAAGGATACTCTGAAGTTAAATCTTCTAGAAAGTTATATTCTAATTCATATTTCCTTACTATATAAATTTAACCTAGGTTTTAGAAGCACAGATATTGTTTCTATGAATAGGATTAATCTCAATTGCCTTTATCTAAATTCTTTCCTTAAAAAAATAAATACATAAATTGTCTTTGTTGTATTTATTCAGTTAAAACTTATTTGATGCCCTCAAATAGAAATCTATTTATTTATAAAGCTGTGACCATTAATTAGTGACCATGCTATCGTTAATATTGATCCTTATTACAGAATCATTTTCAGTTTGTTTTCTATTGTAGAAACATTTTGTAATACCTAAACTAGACACTATGCCACTTTCACATGCATTAACGAAACTGCAGAAATATGAATAAAAATTTTACTCAATCATCCTGCAGCTAACTGTAACACTTTATGTAAAAAAGATCTACTTTTGTGTATTATCATTCCCTGCTTTGAAGCAACATAGAAGAGTATGTAAGTTTGGATACATCAAAAAGTCCCTTTCCAAGCTCCCAATCTACTAATTTAGTGATATGTAAGACAAATTATAGAGCAAAAGTATTTGCCTTGGAAGTGAAGAAACATAAATTACTACTCTCTACCTTTTCCCAATTTCCTTTATTCTTTAGGATCCACTGTACACCTATCACAGATGTTTCTATGCAGGCCAAGGATACATAATTATAAAATATCATACCCCTCAACGATTAGCACTTCAGAGTTTCCAAAATCTACCATGAATATTTGTATTAGTGCAACTTCATGGAGTGAGAATTTGGTTGGACTACAAAGTTTTCTAATATTTTCAGTTTCTATTGGAATTAATTTAGTGATAATTCCTCGACACCAGATTCCATTTTCAACACTGTTGACGAATACTGCTGCACCTAAATAATGAGGAACACAAATCATTATTAGTGTTTATGGAGAAATAATACTTAATAAGCTCTAATTATGAACATGTACATAAGTTCCATCACTAAGAACTCTTAATTCATTTACCTACTGATAAATGATACAGTACTATGTCAAGTGCTATGAGAAGGATGAAGGTAGTGTACCGTAATAGCTCCTATCACACAGAAACTTACCAGCTGAAAGTGGAGGTAACAAAGAATATTCAGTTAGCAGTCACTTATTGAGGACCTATGTTTTATGAACTATAACAAAGATGAATGAGACCTTCCTGCCATCAAGGTACTCAAGAAAGAAAGAGACAGGCAAATAAATTACTTTAATAATACACTGTATTTATAACAATAAAGACCTTCTATCCTCATGCACGTACACACATACATTGTACAGAAATACACGTACTAAAGTTGGTAAAATACTTTGGTAACATAAAGGAAGAAACAGTCACATTCTCTTGATTAAAGGGAATGAGAATAAAGAAACAATGAAAGGCAGAATGTGAAATGCCAAAATTAAGTTAACACACAGTACAGTTCAGAGAAGGGGAAGGTGAACCAAGGACCTAGCAGGAGAGGAAGACCTAATGGAGGAATCAGATGCATTATAAATTAATAACCAGGAAAAAAGAAAGAAGCCTGAATTTGAATGCTTACTATGAGCCCAGCAATGTTCTCAGTATTTTATGTTTGAACTCATTTACTCCCACAACAAACCTATGGAAATGGTGCTTCTATCACGTAAGTGAGGAAACTAGGCAAAGAGACATTACCAAGCCCAAGCTACACGGCTACTTAGAAGACGTAGGAGTAGAACTCAGTCTTAGAGCCCATCCTCTTAAAAACAAAGCTACACATCAGAGATAAATTTAGTAAGACTTGGTCACTGATTATATACAGAAGTATGCTCTATAATCCCCTCTATACACGCTAATAAAATCAAAATAGTGGAAAGGCACATCAGAGTGGCCTTTTAAGTTCTACCAAAACATGTATTTGGCCTTCAGATTATTGTTGACCCTTCTCATATGCTGATATACCACGTAACCAATATTCTTAATTTTAAACCATGCTATTGAACCATTCTTTCTTGCAACAGATAACAGCCTGCTGAAGCCATTTTTGTTCTTTATAATGAGGAACAGGTAGTCAAAGGGAATGATACCCAACTAAAGAATCCTACCACATTTTTTCCCTTATCACTAATTTCTCAAAATATGTGCGCATTTAAACCATACTCATGTACTTATCTTGAAATAATAATTATCTTTAAATTAAAACAAAGGGTGACTTTCTGACTTTCTTAGAACATTTTCTGAATCTAAGCTGAGCTCTTTTGGGCATGTATTAAGTTTTGGAGAATTATTTGCAAAAAAATTAACACTACACTTCCCTCCTCTTAGATATTCATAATTTAAGTGGTTTTTTTAGTTTGAAAATTATTTTTGTCAGAAGTATATGATGACTGTAGGCTTCTGATACTCTGTTAAGCTCCACAGATAAGCTGAGAGTTAATCACACTTTTAAAGAACTATTATATAAGGCTAAACAGATTACACTTTTTGGTATTATTGCTAGAGATTGCTATTAACAGAATAAGAAAAATGCTGTATTAGTAAATCAAACAAATCATAGCTTCATCTTATTACAGAGTATAACCAAATTTAGTCAAAAGAGTTATAAGGAAAATATCTGTAATGAAAGCCTCAATTATGAAAAATTACACATATCCTTAGAATTAAGATGAACTGGTTACATTTCCCAACTACCCTCTGTGTTGCCCTAGGAAATGGATGCCATGTCCTCCAGCATCTTATCAAGTGTTTAATGACATCCTCAGCATTATATGTGGATATCACAGAACTGGAGTCACACTACAAGGGGTCATCTTAGAGTTTTCCCTGGAGACCAGGGGGCAAACTACATACTGCACACGGGGTTTTGTCATTTACAAAACTCACCTCTAGTCATGGGACATTGAGTATAGTGTGGGAGTGGAGTCAAGGGAATTGTAATAGATATTTATGATGTTGGGGGGAAGTGGGGCAGCGGATTGGGGGAGGGGGATTGTCACTTCGAGGGGTGAAAAGTATAACTATTGTACTGTGTTGTACAGCTGAAACTAATTCTAAAAAATGTGTATTTCATAATAAAAAAAAAAACTTGACAAAAAACAAAAAACTCACCTCACTCTATAATGGAGTTTTTGTGTCTCTCACTCAGTGGTCAATTAGAATATTTAGCTAACTTAAATAAAATTTAACTTGTGTTAAATAATTCTAAAACTTATGCTTGGAGTACAAATCGGGACTATGAAAAGTCTATATGGGTTGGCCAACTATTACAGCATTTCCATACATTTGATATTTTAACTTTGAGTAATATTTTATTACCTAGCTCCAAAATGTCTGCAGGATGAAGGTGTACGCTTTCACTGCAAAACTGATTCACCTTCTTTTCCAATTCTGTTGCATTTTTTATGTGTGAATACCTCCGGATGTAGAAGTGACAAGGATGTATTACATGACTTACAAAAACTAGCTCTGGAGGACCTGGATAAGAATATTTAAATCACATTCATAAACCATAAGTTAGAAAAGAATTCACAAAACCTGAATGCAGTATCCTCTAAAATAATAAGTATCTTGTGGCATTGCAAACTCTAGAATACTGAGGTCCCACAAAAGAATCCAACCCCAAAATAGTAACTAGACTACTAAAACAGATTAGCAAACTGAACTGCAAATATTTATTTGCAAAATATGTTAAATAAATGGAACTACAGTTCATGTGATAGACTGTAGTCAGTAATTGCTATAAGTCCCTTGTATTACAACAAAACTTCAGAGTTTATTTTTGAACGTATTTGGAACTCATAACCCCATTGGTAATGATTAGGTTTCTAGTATAGCCCCCAGAAATCCTGTTTACTCTATAATACACCCAACAATTAGCTCATACCCACTCTGAATCCCAAATCTTATCACACTAGAGAGGTGTAAAAAAATGTCTGGGCAAAGCCAACATACTGAGCAGCATTTAGGGGCAGATGTTTGCGTTTTGATGGAGGTAGGTGTGAGGTAGAATAAAAGGTGGTGAGATATTTTTTTGTATGTAACAATCATTAAGCCAAATGTTGCAACTAATATAAAAAGATCTCCAGAATATAATGTTAAGAATTAAAAGAACACAATAGTTTTTAATAGGTATTAATAGGTATGCTATGTTTTGTGTAAAACAACAAAAAAGTTAGAAAAATAATACATCTGTTTGTATATGCAAAGAAGCTCTGGAAGGGAGAGACAGGCTGGATAGAATGGGAATAGGTTAGGGTAAAAGTTTCATAGGATATTTAAATATATATATATATTAAATTTTTACATATATAATACATATTAAATGTTTAATTTTTGAACATAGATCTTTAATCTATTATATTGCGTTGTCAGAAAAGTCATGACACATTTTGGCAATGAAAAACATAGAAAAAATACATCATGCCTTTTCTGACAACCCAATAGTAAAAATGTTTTTAAAAGACTAGGAGGGTTAGAATTGGAGATAGCCAAGTATAGATGATAAAAATTGAGTAAATGGGGGCCGGCCGAGTGGCTCAGTTGATTAAGAGCTTGCTCAAGAGTGCAGGCTCTGAGCAACAGGGTCGCTTGTTCGATTCCCACATGGGCCAGTGACGCTGCGCCCGAGCCGAGCTGCCACTGAGCTGTCAATAGGTAGCTGAATGGCTCAGCTGGTGAGAGCACGTGCTCCTAACAACAAGGTTGCCTGTTCGAGATGGTGGGCTATGCCCGCCCGCAACTAAAGACTGAACTTGGCACCTTGAGCTGAGCTGCTGCCCAGGTAGCTCAGGGGTTAGAGTGCACGCTCTTAACAACAAGACTGCTGGTTTGACTCCCGCATGGGATGGTGGCTACACCCACCCACAACTAGGACTGAACTCGGCACCTTGAGCTGAGGTGCCACCCAGATGGCTCAGTGGATACAGCGTGTGCTCTTAACAACAAGGCTGCTGGTTTGACTCCCGCATGGGATGGTGGCTATGCCCACCTGCAACTAACTGAACACAGCACCTTGAGCTGAGCGGCGTGACTGGACTTGGAGCTGAGCTAGCTGCACCCTCCACAACTAAGACTGAAGGACAACTTGGCTGTTCCCCTTCCCCAATTCCCCAATAAAATCTTTAAAAAAAAATTGAGTAAATGGGTTACTTTAATTATCCAATATAGATCACGAAGAATAATACCCATATTGAATTGTAATAGATAATATATGATATTGGGGGAGGGGGGAAGTGGGGCAGCGGATTGGGGGAGGGGGATTGTCACTTTGAGGGGTAAAAAGTATAACTATTGCACTGTGTTATACAGCTGAAACTAATTTTTAAAAATCTGTATTTCACAATAAAAGTAAATAAAATAACAAAAAGAAAAAAAACACCATTAGTAAAATAAAGAAGCAAACTACAGACTGGAGAAAATATTTTATATAAAATGAAAAAATAATATTTAAAAAAAAAAAAGAATACCCATATTGAGGATGGGTTAAGGAGATAAATAAGTGTAATTGGGGAGACAGCTGAGAGAAGTGTTATAAATTTTAGAAATGTTTTTGCCAATAACAGCCAAACTTTTAACGTTGAAAAAGGAAGAAGTTGTAGTTATCAGTAAAATTCAAAATTTTCCTCACTGTTTCACACTACCTAAGAGTTATTCAGCAAACTCCACAACATCAAGCTCAGAGTTGTAAAAGTACCTGCTTTTGATCCAAAAGGAAGAGATAATTTTTCCTGAAGAGGCTTGTTCGGATATTTGGGTGTCACCACAAGATAACCTGCTTCAGCAAAATAGGAAATAAAGGCAACTGTACTAATGTTATTAAGTTGACAATGGCATACTACTGTTTAAAACAGTCTGTATTTGAATTGAAAAAGTACTGGAATGGCAAGACCCCTTGTATCAGTAGGTAAAGTCATGAGAGGTTTCTTAACTGAGAAAGCAGTGATGGTAATACAAATGGAATGGAGAGAAAACAGCATATCCCTTTTTTGTATTCAAGTGTCATTCTGGAGAGTTGACCAATGGAACAGATGCTGGGGGAAAGGAAGAGAACCAAGCAGATCTTGCAAATGGCCCTAAAGAAGACCAGTAGTATAACTACACACACTAGTATCTCACTCATGTGTTGATAAGGAGAATACCAACATTGGAAATCTAATCAAATAGTTATGATACATTTAAATGTTACAAAAGAGATGCTATTATATTCATAATAGTTCATTTTATAACAGATTCTATCCTAGAACAATGATTTAAGAGAAGCTATTCTTAAACCTAAGGACAAAGTCATGAGATTGCTTCTACAAATCTCTCATTTATATTTTCAACTTTTATATGAGGTCTATATGTGGAACACTAAAAAGTCAAATACTTTATTTGAATCAAGTATTAAATTTACATCTCAGAGTTTAGCTATATTATTGCATTAAAAATAAAAATGATCCTAACTTTAGAAAATGTGAAAGAAGGGAAATGGTATAAGCCAGGGGCTGGCAAACTGTGGCTCGCGAGCCACATGGAGCTCGTTGGGTACGTACATGTGGCTCTGAAGTGAAATTGAAAATGAAAATAAAACTATCATAGTTTCATTTATGAAATTTTTAAAGGACGTTATTTACATAATGGTGATTTCATTTGTTTTATGGCTCTCAAATAATTTTTAAATTGTTGTGAGGGACAGGATTGGCTCTTCTGTCTCAAAAGTTTGCCGACTCCTGGTACAAGCTAACAGCAATATGTTTGTAAGTACAGGGACAGAAAGGTAGTAATTTTGTTTTTAATTACAGACACAATATATTGTCTCCTTGCTTTTGTATTTTCACCCACTTTCCAGGTTTTCTTCAATAATTTCTTCAATGATCACATCAGGGCTAGAACCCATTTGAGGCAGAGCAGCAATGGTTTTAGAAGATGTTGTTGCAGTAGTCTCTTTCTGTGGCTGGAAGCTTTTTGCTTCTAAATGCACATCATTGGTTTCCAGTTGTAAAGGAGGTGGTGCGGCTTCATTAGTTAGCACAGACATGTCAACCTTTTTCTCTTCTGGTGATGGGTATGTATCATGACAAGAAAATTCCTTTTCATGATTGTATTTCTTTTGAACATTCTGGCCAATTTCATTTGCAGGGGGATCATATCTGTTTAAAAATACAGAGGCATACGGCTACTTTAAATCGTTTCATAAAACTTTTATATCTTCTTTCAAGCCATTTTCTTTTCACATGACAGTTAATATTGTGATGCATACCAAGCAGTAATGTTACACAGGTGCTCAGGGGTATTTTTCAAACAGCTTATGGATAAATAACTCACACACTACAAGATTCACTAATTTTTACTAAATTTACAGAGTTGTGCAACCATTACCACAATCTAATTTTAGAACATTTCTATTATCCAAAAAGAAACTTTTGCCCATTGCCAGCCCCAAACAAGCCCAAGAGTTTTAAAAGGACAACAAGAGGTATAATCAAAGAGAAGCTGAAGAAAGAATTTGATACGGTCATGCCACAATGATCTAGTCCTAAAAGAACAGTGGATACAGGTTTTCAAAGAAGTCCTTTTGATTTGGCTTAGGTGTTTGATTTTAAATTATGTTAAGATTATTTATTCTTTTTAATTTATTGGCTTAAAAATAAAGTGTAAAAAACAGTGAAGGATACAATCCTGAGCAAATTATCAGAAGCTTCCACTGTGGCTAGAAATCACAATCTGAATCCTTTGGATATCAGTATTCAAGAGCCACTAACCCACAGTGGATTATTTATTCTGTTCACTTCATGTTTTTCTATCTTCTTCACATATCCATACAGATTTAGGCTATCAAATCTACAAGTACAGAAATTCTATCAAACAAATGAGCTTGTATTTTAGTTAACCCATGATGGAATTATCATCATTTAAGAAGCATTTCAGAAATAGGAACCAACAAAGTCAAACAGATTTAGCAGTGGCACATCTGTCTCTTCCAACTGAACGTACTCACTTAACGTAAGTAAAATCAGTACGTGTCGAATAAAGGTCCAAACACTCTCTGAGGATACATATGTGCATGCAACTTCGCAATCTAAACATTTCTTTTTATAACAACTCTTATCTAACCTTATTAAGACATGTAACACTGTCAACCAACTCCAGTCTCATAAATCCCTACTTGACTTCTAGAACACCACTCTGTTTGTCTTTCAGCCTCTGCCTGCTCCTTCTCTAGTTTGTTTGGTTTTTATTTGTTTTTTGCAGGCTACCCTTTCCCTGCCGTAAAATTTCTTTTTTTTTCCCAGGGTACTGTCCTTGACCTACTTCAATACCTGCTCTCACTGGGCAAACGCAACGTTTAATTATCACCTGTAATCAGTAGATGCAGGTTACAGTGATACTTTCCCTAGAAACTAGGGAAAATTTTAAAAGACTACTGAGTTAAATTTAAAATCAAGACAAGATCAATACAGACTCTTAAAAAGACAGAATAACTTTTGATATAAAAATGTCTGACAGTAACCATATTCAAGTTATCAAAATGTCTGAAAGAATGTACTGATTGAGAAAATGATGATTATCCACGGGAGCACAAAAAGTAAAGTCACAGGGACAAGTATGGGGCAGGGCTATGGCTTGAGCCAAGGGACTGATGCTCCAGGCCTCTGGGAAGGTGTTTGTTGTGGTGGCAAGGAATGGAAAGCTATCTGGGTCTACTGCTGTTAAACTCTTTAATCCTATTCCCTTTATTCCAAACAAGACTGCAAACAAAGCAGCTCCTAACCATTTGGCTTCTTTTGTCTCTGTCTGGATATTGGAAAAGAAAGCTAACCTATGTATTCCATTCTCTGCCTACTAACTTCTGCATTATTGGAACTTCTCTGACATATATCTGAACATCTAGGGTGTTAATGCTGGCACAAAATCAGTGTTCAATGCTGACTGAATGACTCTTATAAATAACTTTGCCATATATCTCACTGAATACTGATCCCTTCTAGGTCTTTTAATTCTTAAATATTTTACATAGAATATAACTGACAGAAACTATTTTGCCCTTTATATTGTTCTTCAACTTTTGAATCATACATACTACACCAAACATCATTTTTTCTGTCTCTTAGGTCCTGTCAGACACTAATGGTATGTTGTCATTCTTATAAATACTTACTTTCTTGAGTCCTCAGATTTAATCTGGACCATACTGTTGAACATACAGATGATCTCACTGCAATTCATATTCAACCTAAAATAAAACACTAGCATGTAAGTAAATGTTCTAATACAACTTTGTTACTTTCTCTAAATAAAAATCACCTGTGGACATTAAAAACTCTAAAAGGCATTTAAATAACTTTCTTATTTATCATAAATTACACTTATTTTAATTTGGTTGCTAGCTTGGGAAACATTTGTGACCCAAATTTTCTATTTATAATTGCTTGCTATTTTAGTAAGCCTAGGCTCTAATACATTTTTCTATTTAATTGTTATGTTCTCCTGCATTATAACTCATTTACCTGGGAGAGTTCCTTAGTTTCAGAGTGCTAACTTGTGACAATTCACTCTCAAATGTTAACTTCAAAGTCCGGATAATCTGGAATCAAAAGAAAAGTGTCACTCATATGTGAATTTTATTTTTTTAAATAAATATTGTTGAAACAATAAGATTTTAGAAGAAAAACTATACCCTTTAAGTATTTCACTAATTAAAAGTGTTCAAGGTTTGATTTTAGCACTCAAAGGAAGGGATGCAAATAAGTTTTTATGACTTTATCCCCACAAAAGGAAATTCAGTATCTTTTGGAGATACGAATTAACAGATAACAACAACACAGACACTAGTTAACAAATGAGATATAGTTAATACACGATCAGAGGAAATTCTGACCAGTTTATTTTGCACTTGCATCGCTGTCCTCAAATGTTTCCCTCTTTTTATTTTGCCACATCTTCCTAGTGAAGTTAACTACAGACCCAATCTTACCACTTTTTTCCATCTCCTAATGCCTCATGGAGTACACAGGAAATGACTATTATTCTTTTTAGAACTACTGTTAAAAGGAGGTCTGGCCAAGTAAGACAGTGGCAAACTCTTCTTTCATTTAATGTTAGAGACTTTGGAGGCAGGTAAACCAATGGCTTTTATTTCATAATTCAGTTCAGTCCAAACATCTGATTACCTGTGGAAAGTGAGGCCCTGAGGATTCAAAGAGTAGGATCTATTGCCCAAGAGAGCAAGGTAGAAATTAGCAAAGGGGATCCATGGTTAACCCTATCCTGCCAAATGATCTCAAAAGAAATATATTTCTCCATTTCTGTGCAACTCTGCTCCCTGGCCACATGGATTAGCTGATAGGACATAGCTGAAGCACCTTGTCTCTTGACCTGCACATTTGGGGAGGCGGGAGGGGGAAGGAAAAAACCTGAATGGGATCTTGAATTAAGTTTTTAAATCAAGAGTTGAAAGTCATAACTAAATTGTTTATGAAAACAGAGTTACATTTAGTTTGCTACCTTTATTTGTTCTTGAATTTTTTATTCAAGTGTCCTAGAAACATCAACTTTCAATTCAATGTCATCCTACTTGTTCTCAGATCATGTGTTATAAAAACCTTATTATACCATTACTCTAAGTGGTAAATAATAATAAAAGGCTAAACAAATGATTAATGTTTATCTTAGAATTCAAAAAGCTAAGAATTCTAAATTGAGGCCAGTACAAGTTAAGATAATCTGAAAAACATACTCTTATTAATTCTTAAATATCATATTCAAAAACATGTAAAATAAGCTACCTCAGAAATAATTCACATTAACTATTAACATTACCTGATTTAGGTCACAATAAGTCCTTAGAGAAGGTGCTGATTTTAACTCTCTTGCTATCTTCATAGTTGCATCCAAATCTTTTTTTTTCTCTTCAAGGCGGTTTTTAGCCATTATCACATTTGATAAATAATCATTGGTATTTTTTACTACTTCTTCACACAACTTCTTTTTCCTTCATATAAGATCCCAAAGTTATTTGGAGAATTTTGTAAACATTTACATGAAAGTGGATTTATATTAATAACAGTATCGAAAGGGTAATTTCACTGGTTTATAAACTTAACATGGTTAAATGAGGCATTTAATTGAACTGAAATGTATTACAATTGAAAGTTATGTATGTATTAGTAAAAAGTAAATTTTGTGTGTTATAATTATGTTGTAGATACAGCTGTTACAGACTTACAAGGTTAAGACCGACCCTTGATGATTTCACCCAAAATAGAAATCCTCTCTAATTCCAGTCACTTGTGCCATTACATTGACATATCTGTACTCATTTCTCAACAGGATCTACCTGTACATTTTAAATTTTCCATCAACAGACACAAATTACATGGATATAAAATTGTATTTAAAAAGAGACTTCACCAAACCAGAACTTAGGTATCAATTAACTATAAAACCTTCAAAGTAACCACTTAGGGAAGTTATATAATTATTCCTTCATTACTTTTACCTCATTACTTAAAATCTTTTCTGGACTATGGTGGAATTACTTTATGATGGCAATTAAGTATTTTTGTATCAAAAATTGTAGTATCTAACTAACTCATTTTATTCATCAAACAAGTGTCTTTTCAGTATTTCTTCAAAGTCAAATCTGGCTTCAAAAAAGGAGATTTTGCCACACTGAAGAGTAACAAGAATGTGACATAGGCTATGGACGTAGAGAAGTATTACGAAAACCTTTCAGTAATTGCACATATAATCTCTGAAAGTCATTTCTTTAGGGTAAAAAAACTTATCATTTTGCCAAGTTCTAGTATGGTTCCTAAAAACTCATGTTTATGTAGTGATGTCAGCAAAATGGCAGACCAGGAAACTTTAAGCCCTCGTTCCCCAACAGAGATGTCAAAAACATGCAAAAAATGGTTAAAATAATCTTATAAGAACTCTGGAAAATAGACAAAGATATACAGCAACCAAGCAAATGCCCAATCAATAAAAAGCCACACTCAAAACAGTAGGAAATGTCATGGTTTTTACTTGTCCTTGCCTAGCCCCCTCCTTGTTGTGACACAGTTCCCAATTCTTTTTCACAAACCAGAGGGAGGACAGCAGACTTTATTTTCAATGTTCTAATTTGTCTGGGGGCTGCTTGAAGAACTAGTCAATTTTACCTAACTTGGAGCTCAGGCAGTGAGAAGCAGTGGGCACTGCAGAGAAGGCTGCAAAAAGACCAACAGTGGAGAGACCTGGGCAAGAGATTGCAGGTAATGACATACAACAGACCATTTGAGGCTCAGAGGAGAAGCTTAGGTAAGACTCTTAGGGAAAATAAGACATTTATAAGCAGCCATGTATACAAGAGAATCAAAAAAGCCACACTCTGACCCAAGTATGATACAAGCTCGAAAGACATGAGAATTCTGTAAGCCTTCATCTCAGGCTGTCCCAAGGCTCAGAGTAGCATGCTCAGCTACTCAGTGAAGGACTGCCTCAGCAAAGAGCCAATTTGCAATGATGGACGGAGGGCTATGCCCAATTTTCAACAAAGCACCACAAAACATACAAAGGAAATCAGGAAAACAACAAAGGACGAAAATGTGAATACCAACAGAGACATAAATTATAAAAAGGAACCAAAAGAAAATCCAGTGTTCAAAAGTACAATAACTGAAATTAAAAAATTCACTACAGGGGTTCAACTGCAGATTTGAGTAGCAATAAAAATCAGTAAACTTGAGGATAGGACAATTGAAATTGCTGAGTCTGAGGAACAGAAAGAACAAAGAATCAAGAGGAGTACACAGAGCCTAAGGGACTTCCGGGATACCCTTTAAGAGGATCAACATATGCATTATGGGAGTCCAAAAGGAGAAGAGAGAGAGAAGTACAAAGTGATTATCTGAAGAAGTAACTGTTAAAAACTTCCAAAATTAGATGAAATACATAAATTTACAAATCCAAGAACTCAAAGACATCTAAGTAGAATAAACCCAGAGGCTCCACACTGAGACACAATATAATCAAACTGCCAAAAGACACACAGAATCTTGGAAGTGCCAAGAGAAATGCAATTTGTCATGTACAAGGGATCCTCAGTAAGGTTATCAGTTGATTTCTCACCAGAAACCTTGGAGGCCAGAAAGCAGTGGGGTGACAAAGTTCAAGTGTTGAAATGAAAAAAAAACAAAACAAAACACCTGACAACTAAGAATTCTGTACTCAGCAAAACCATCCTTCAAAAAAATTGAGGGAAAAATTACAACAATCCCAGGTAAAAGCTAAGGGAGGTGATTACCAATACTTGATTCAACAAGAAATGCTAAAAGGGGGGGGGTCCTTTAGGTTAAAATAAAAGAAAGCTAGACAACAACTCAGAGCCATATAAAAATAAATATAATGCCTTTAGGTAAGTGGGCAAATATAAAATCTAGTGTGATTGTAATTTTGGTTTATAACTCTACTTTTTCTTTTCTATAAGATTTAAAGGACAAATACATAAAATGACTAGAAATCTATGTTAATGGGTACACAATATATAAAGATGTAACTGTGTCAACAAAACAAAGCGGATGGAGATGTAAAGGAGTAGAGTTTTTATACGCAATTCAGTTAAGCTAGTATCAATTTGAAACAGATTGTTATAACTTTATATGTAATACCCATGGTAACCACAAAGAAACTCTAGAATATGCAACAAAGAAATGAGAAGAGAATCAAAATTTGCCACTACAATAAAATAAAATAAAAAGAAAGGAAGACAGTAATACAGGAAATGAATGGCAAAAAAAAAAACAACCATTGAAAACAACATGGAAAAAGTAGGTAAGTCCATCTTTATCAGTAATTACTTTAAATGTAAATGGATTAAGCTTCTGAATCAAAAGACAGAGTATGAAAACAGATTTTTTTTAAAAATGATGGTGTATATTTGGGTCTACAAGAGATTCACTTTAGATCTAAAGACATACATACAATAAAAGTGACAGAATGGAAAAAGATATTCCATGCAGATAGTAACCAAAAGAGAGCTAGGGTGGCTATACTAATAATCATACAAAATAAACTTTAAGTAAAAATTTGTTACAAGAGACAAAAAGGACATATATTGATAAAAGGATCAATTCACCAGGAAGCTATAACAATTACAACACATATATATGCACCAAATACAAGAGTTCCAAAATATAAGAAGCAAACATTGACAGAATTAAACGGAAAAATCAAGTTCTACAATACTGTAATAGGTGAGACTTCAATATTCTACTTTCAATAATGGGTAGAAAAGCCATATAGAATATCAATAAGAAAATAAAACTACTTAAACAACATTATAAATCAGTTGGACCCAACAGACATATACAGAACACTCCACCCAACAGGGAATACACATTTTCCTCAAACATACATGGAGCATCTGCAGAATAGACCATGTGTTAGGTCAAACAAGTCTTAATAAATTTTAAAAGACAGAAAGCATACAAATTATACTTTTTTGGTCATAATAGAATGAAACTAGAAATCAGTAACAGAAGAAAACTAGAAAATTCATAAATATGTGGAAATTAAACAACACATTCTTAAACACAGATAAGTATAATAAAAACAATCACTAGGAAAATACCTTGAAACAAATTTTAAAAAAAATCAAAATATTAAAATTTATGGGAAGCAGTGAAAGCAGAGATAAAAGGTTAATATGTAACTGTAAATGCATTTAAAAAGAGATGGCAAGGGCTGGCCGAGTGGCTCACTGGTTAAGAGTTGGCTTGGAAAAATAAAAAGTAAAAAAAAATAAATAAAAAAGAGTTGTCTTGGAGCGGCAGGGCCACCAGTTCAGATCGCACATGGGCCAGTGATGCTGCACCCTCTACAGCTAAGATGGTGAACAACAGCTCAACCTGGAGCTGGGCTGCTGTTGAGTCGACGGCGTACGCTGCAGTGGGGCTGCAGTGGGCTGCCCTAAGCTACTGTGAGTGGCTGGCAGCCAGCATGAGAGGCCAGCAGCTGGCGTGAGCTGCTGTACGCCGCCATGAGCTGCTGTGAGCCGCCATGAGCGGCCGTCCAATGGCTGGAGACCAATTTGCCTCAGCCAGGAAGAGCGGAATGATCACAATACCAACATGGGCCAGTGAAGTGACGTCCTCCACAACTAGACTGAGAACCAAAGGACAGCAACTTGTCTGTTCCCCTTCCCCGATTCCCCAACGCTGTTCTCTCCCCGCAATTCCGCAATAAAAATCTTAAAAATAAATAAATAAATAAAAAAGAGATGGTAAACCAACAACCTAACTTTACATCCTAGGAACTAGAAAAAGAATAACCTAAATCCAAAGTTAGAAGGGAGGAATAATAAATATTAGAGTGAAGATAAGATATACTGAATAGAAAAAAAGAGAAAAATCAATGAAACCAAAAGTTGACTCTGTGAAAAGATCAAAATTGACAACTCTTTAGGTACACTAAGGGAAAAAAGAGAAGAGAGATCAACTTAGTAAAATCAGAAAGAAAATGGGCACATGATGACTAATTTTACAGAAATGAAAAAGATTAGAAGAGACTACTATGAACAATTGTATGACAAGAAATAGGATAACCTAGTTAAAATGGACAAATTTCTAGAAATGCACTATCTACCAACACTGAATTAGGAAGAAATAGAAAATCTGAACAGACCAGTAACAACTAAGGAGACTGAATAGGTAGGTAGATAGGTGTGTGTGGGTGTGCGTGGGTGTGTGTGTGTGTGTGTGTGTGTGTGTGTGTGTGTGTGTATATATATATTTTTTTAATCTCCCAATAAAGAAAAGCCTGGAACTAGATGGTTTCCACTAGTGAATCCTACCAAATGTTTAATGAAAAATTAGTACCAATCTTCCTCAAACCCTTCCAAAAAATTGAAGGGGCAGAAATACTTCCTAACGCATTCTATGAGGCCAGCATTACCACAACCATATGAAGACACTACAAAAGAAAAATAAAAAAGAGGAAAGAAAGAAAACTATAGACCAATATCTGAATACTGATGAAAATCCTCAAAAAAATTCTAGCAAGCTGAATTCAGCAGCAAATTAATAGGATAATACATTATGACCAAGTGGGATTTATTCCTGGAATACAGGGATGATTCAATAAACAAAAATCAATTAATGTTATACACCACATTAAAGAAGTAAAAACCCCCACATGATCCTCTCAAAAAATGCAGAAAAAGGATCTGACATATTTCAACATACTTTCATAATAGAAAATATTCAATAAACCAGGAATTGAAGGAAACTCCATTATCATAACAAAGACTACATATGAAAAACTCACAGGTAACATCACAGTAGACGATAAACTGATAGCTTTTTTTCTAAGATCAGGAACAAGATAAGGATGTATGTTCTTGCCATTGCTCTTTAACATATTATTGTAAGTAATAGCCACAGAAATTAGGCAACAAAAAGAATTAAAAAACACCTAAAGGAAAAGAAGTAAAATAATCTTTTTGCAGATGACATGATCTTATATGTAGAAAGCCCTAAAAATGCCATAAAAATACCAGTAGGTCTAATAAAGGAATTCAGCAAAGATGTAGGATATGAAATCAATACAGAAATCAGATGCATTTCTATACACTAACAACAAACACTCTGAAAAGGAAATTAAGAAAATTCCTTTAAAATAGAAAAGGATTATACTTAGGAATAAACTTAACCAAAAGGCAGCAGACCACTACATTTACTATAAACTATACAACACTGCTAAAAGAAATTAAAGACGAAAATAAAAGGAAAGAAATCCCATGTTCATGGATAGGAAGACTTGATATAGTTAATACCACCCAAAGCAATCTACAATTTAATGCAATCCCCATCAAAATCCCAATGACATTTCGTGCAGAATAGAAAAACCCATCCTGAAAGTCATATGGAGTCTCAAGGGACTCCAAATTAACAAAACAATCTGAGAAAGAAGAACAAAGTTGGAGGACTTACACATCCTGATTTCAAAACTTGCTATAAAGCTATAGTAATCAAAACATAAGGGGGCCGGCCAAGTGGCTCAGTTGGTTAAGAGCGCAAGCTCTGAGTAACAGGGTCACCAGTTCGACTCCCGCATGGGATGGTGGGCTACGCTCACCTGCAACTAAGATTGAACACGGCACCTTGAGATGAGCTGCCCCGAGCTGCCGATGGGCAGCCAGATGGTGACTGGACTTGGAGCTAATCTAGCTGTACCCTCCATAACTGGAACTGAAGGACAACAACTTGGCTGTTCCCCTTCCCCAATTCCCCCCAAAAAACAAAAACCAAAAACATAAGGACAGACAGACCACTGGACTAAAATAGAGCACCCAGAAATAAACCTTCACATATACAATCAGCTGAGTTTTGACAAGCATTCCAAGACCATTCAATGGACAAAAGACTGTCTTTTCAACATAAGGTGCTGGAAAACTGGATCTCCAAATGGAAAAGAATGAAGTTGGACTCTTCCCTTTTACCACACACAAAACCTAATTCAAAATGAATCAAAGGCCTAAATATAAGAGCTAAAATTATAAAACTCTTTTAAGAAAAATAGGAGAAAAGCTTCATATTAGATCTGGCAATGATTTCTTAGATATGACCCCAAAAGCACAGGCAACAAAAGAAAACTTGGACTTTATCAGTAACTTCTTTGGATCAAATACTGCTATCAAGAGAGTGAAAAGGCAATTCATAAAAGGGGAAAAAATCTGAAAATGATGTATTTGATACAAGATTAATATCAATAATATATAAAGAACTCCGAGTGGCACGTTGGTTAAGGGTTGGCTTGGGACACCAGCTCTGAGCAGCAGGGCCCTGGTTCGGATCCCACATTAGGGCCAGTGACGCTGCGCCCGCTACAGCTAAGATGGTGAACAACAGCTTGACCTGGAGCTAGGCTGCTGTGAGTCGCCGATTATTGCGTAGGCTGCAGTGGGGCTGGCCGGCAGCCGGCATGTGCTTTCGTGAGCTGCCGTGAGCAGCTGTCAAATGGCTGGCGAGCCGACTGCCTCACCCGAGAAGAGAGCAATGATAATACCAACATGGGCCAGTGAAGCAACATCCTCCACAACTAGACTGAAGAACAAAAGAACAGCAACTTGTCTGTTCCCCTTTCCCAATTCCCCAACGCTGTTCCCCTCCCCCAACTCCCCAGTAAAATCTTAAAAAAAACACCTAAAACTCCTAAATCCAAGAACAAAATAAATAATCCAATTAAAAAATGGGCACTCATACAATTTAATACCAAAAAACCCAAACATTCCAATTAAAAAACGGACAGACGATCTGAACAGACATTTCTCCCAAGAGGGCATACAGATGGCCAACAGACATGAAAAGATGATCAACATCACTAAGCATCAGGGAAAAGCAAATAAAAACCACAATGAGATACCACTTCACACCTGTCAGAATGGCTATCTTCAATAAATCAACAAACAAGTGCTGGTGAGGGTGTGGAGAAAAGGGAACCCTTGTGCAGTTGGTGGGATTGCAAATTGGTGCAGCCACTATGGAAAACAGTGTGGAGGTTCCTCAAAAAATTAAAAATAGAACTGCCATACAATCCAGCAATTCCACCTCTGTGTGTTTATCCAAAGAAAACAAAAACACTAATTTGAAAAGGTATATGGCACCTCTATGTTCATTACAGCATTACTAATAATACCCAAGATATGGTGCAACCTAGGCATCCATCAATAGATGAATGGACAAAGGAGATGTGGTGTACACGTACATACACATACACACACACACACACACACAAAACAGAATGTAATTCAGCCATAAAAATGAATGAAATCTTGCCATTTTCGATAACATGGATGGACCATTATGCTAAGTGAAATAAGTCAGAGAAGGACAAATACTTTATGATCTCACATGTGAAATCTAAAAATACAAAGTAAATGAACAATCAAAACAGAAACAGACCCATAGATACAGAGAACAAGCTAGTGGTGGCCAAAGAGGAGGGAGTGGAGGGATAGGAATAAAAATAATAAAAATTAAAAAGAAACAAACAAAAAAATGGGCAAAGTACTTGCATACACATTCCCTCAAAGAAGTATACAAATGGCCAGTAAATAAGCACACGAAAAGATACTCAACATAACCAGTCATTAGGAAAATGCAAATCAAAATCACAATGAGATACTATTTCATTCCCATTAAGATGTAATTATCAAAAAGAAAAAAAGAAATGAAAACAGAAAATAACACTGTTGGGGAGGATGTGGAGAAACTGAAACAACCCTGTGCACTGCTGGTGGGAAGGTAAAATGTGTAGCCACAATAGAAAACAATTTGGTTTTCTTCAGAAAGTTAAACATAAAGTTACCATATAAAAAAGGTAAACTTTGATATGTATGTTTTACCACTATAAAAACTGTAAAATTAGCCTTTTGAGCTCCTTCTTTTGCTCGGCCCACTCCAAACTCTTTGGAGTGTACTTTTTCTCCTAATAATGATGCCCTTGGACCTTTGGGCCCTGGCCCTTGCCCTTGGCTTTGCCCCTTTGAGCCTCTGCCATGCTTTTGCTTGCCTGCTCCAAACTCTTTGGAGTGTACTTTCTCTTCTAATAATGGCCCTTGAGCCACTGCTTTCTGCTCGGGTCCGCTTCTATTTCTTTGAAGTGTACCTTTTCTTCTAATAAACTGCTTTCACAACTTTAAAAAAAAACCCGCAAAACAACAAAGCTGTAAAATAATGCATGCATACTACCCATCACTTAAATTTTATAATTGAAGACCACATGTGAGACAGCATCAACATGAAGAGTAAAGAATATCAACTGATTCACTGATAGTGTATTGAGCCTAAAAGAACTAGAAGTCAAAAGGACAAGTACCACTATTCTTTGAACATGTCACAACTTTTATGATCCTGTGTCTTCAAGTGTAGAATGTGATTAAGATCATTAAAGATCATATACATCAAAGAGTTTTTTAAAAAGTGAATATAGGGCCGGCCAAGCGGCGCGATGGTTAAGAACTGGATTGGGATGCCAGAGGGCCCCAGTTCGGATCCCACATATGAGGGCCAGTGACGCTGCCCTCCGCAGCTGAGATGCTGAGCAACAGCTCAACCTGGAGCTGGGCTGCCATGAGTCGCCGGCGACGGCATGGGCTGCAGCCCCTGTGGCAGTGGGTTGCCATGGGCTGCCGTGTGTGGCCAGCAGCCAGCGTGAGCGGCCGGTGGCCGCGGTGAGCGGCCGTTGAGAGGCCGGCGACTGGTCTGCCTCGCCTGGGAGGAGCGCAATGATGGTGCCAGCTTGGGCCAGTGGGGCGGCGTCCTCCACAACTGGACTGAGGAGCAAAGTGACAGCGACTTGTCTGTTTCCCTTCCCCCAATTCCCCAGCACTGTTCCCATCCCCCCAATTCACCAATAAAAATCTTAAAAAAAAAAAAGTGAATATATAACTATGGTATGTGTTTAGAAATAAGTATTAGAAAGTATCAGGGTATTATTTGCTCTGATGCAAATAAACGTATGAAAAAAATGATGGAACTACATATAAGAAAATGTATGCATTTTCCCAAGTAAGCTCAATTCTACAACATGAATTCAGAGTTTGCAAATAATATTAATGTGCTGTTTTAAGAAAGAAGCCTGTTCATTTTAACAGGTAGCTTTGGGACAAGAAGCAAATAGATCGAATAAAAAAATGTACAAATTGTTCTTCATTTTAAAGTTGTAAACATCAGCCTGTAGAGACCACCCATTATCTTCCAAACTTGTTTAAAAATTACTCATTACTTCAATCTATACAAAGAAATAAAATGACATCTTATTGTTAGAACTTCCGTTTCATTGAGTCTATATTTTTAAGTTATTACCTGGAATCAAGAGAAGTAAAAAGTCGATCAAACTGTTTCTGCAGAACCTCTAAAAGACTGACTGAATCCGCTTGTGTTTGATCGTGTATGTGTTCAAGCCTCTGGAAGAACATAATACTAATTTAGCATTTTTATTTTATAGAAATTGTACAATTCAACATAATTTTCAAAATAACAGGTACATTTTGGACTTTCCAAAATAATAGCACAAGGGGAGATTAGATGATAAAAATGGAGTAAGTCACAAGGTTCAACTTTAAATCCTGGGACCTGTCAGCAAGGTCATACCTGTGTGGGCACTGTCTATGGGTAAATTGGCCAAACGGCCTAGAAAGTCTACCAAGTTTTCCAACCTTCTTTCTTATCCCTTTTTATTATTACAGCAAACAAGTCACTTTAAATAGCTGAATTTTCTTTGGCAGCATTCCTTAAATTTAAAAAGTAGCATTTTAATCCAAGCACTTTTTTTAACATTAAGTATTCCACAAACTTCTTTGCATTTCTAAACAAAGAATTGTTGCCTGAGATCTGTGAGCCCTTTTTTCCTTCCAATTTCTCCCTTTTGGAATGCGAATGTCTATCCTAAGCCTGTCCAATGTATTTTAGAAGCAAGTAATTTATTATCTTGTTTTACAAATTCACTGTTAAAGAGGGATTTGGCTCAGAATGGATCATACCCTGAGTCTCACCCATACCTGATTTAGAAAATATTTAGATACGGTTTTAGACTTAGAGTTGATGCTGAAATAGGTTAAGACTAAGTTGGGATGGGAAGAATGTATTTTGCATTAATCTGGGGAGGGGGGCCGCCAAAGGGCATACTGTTATGGGTTCAATTTTGTCCCTTCCCTCCCGAATTCATATGTTGAAATCTTAACTGCCATATCAGCTATAACCTTTTGACTGCCTTGGTTGTAAATTTGTTGTTGCTTGTTGTCACCAAATCAGTGATTCTCTCTTTTGGGGGGTGGGGTACAGGAAAAAACAGAGTAAGATGCTTCGTGTAAGGATATACACGCAAATAATGAGCAATGTTAGATGATCTGCAATGCTTCTGAGACAAAATTCAGCTCAGAGCAAGAAGAAATCATGGTTCCTTGATAGAGCTCCAATATTAGTAGGCTGCTAGCTCCATTCCACAAGACCAATCCTAGCAGGCCATGGGGGTTTTCCATTCTGTTGTATGTTTCTGTCATTAGACTACCATGTTTAGTAACTCAGTGCTTAGCTCTAACTTCAGTGATAATACATCCAAATATCCACATTTAAAGAGAACATGCCCTAATTCATGAGAGAATTTTATCATTAAAAATGCTTACTTTCACAGCAATACTTAATTGCTCAAAATTATTGCCTGCTATCTTCAATGCTTCATCAATTTCTTCTGCAGTTTTAGTCTCCTAAGAAGGGGAAGGGGACCACATACAAATATAAAATATAAAAATAGATGCTTAGGTATATTAGTCACAAAAACATCAAGCTATCATTTTGGTTACAAAAGCAATATAGACCCACTATAGAAATCTGAAAACAAGCAAGAAAAATAACACTGTTAATCCTAGTTACCCAGAGATTTAAAATAATTAACATTTTAGAGTTTTGTTCAGAGCATTCCAGATTTTTTTTTAGATATCTTTTTGAAAAAATAAGATTATGTCCTGTAACCATTTTGAAACTTAAAACTATCTTGAAAAATTTATCATGGTAATAAATGCACACATGCAAAACTTAACAGTTTAAGAAAAAAATTATAATTTGGCTGTTAAGATTTAAACTTGAAATAAAAGATAGCAAGATTAAGTGCCCTCTCTCCTCCCCTAGCCCACTAAAGATCTCCTTAAGAAGATAATACTTGATTTAACAGCATTTTAGAGTTTGTTCTATTTCTAATCTTAAATTCTAAAATACATTATTTAAAGTTATCAGATGTAGTGACAGATAAACTTCAGTCTTCCAAAAACAATTTCATCATCATCATCATCAACAACAAATGCTATTAGGCATTTTGAATGGAAAAATCACATTTAGAATTAGAAACTTGTACTTTTTACAAGTTTCATGTAACTCAGATTCAAAACTAGGTTCAAAGAGAGAAGCTACATACAAATAAATATCAAGAGCACTAAGAGGGCTGCCTTGGGAAGAAAAGACAATTGTTCAAGCATAGTTTAGAATAAAAAAAGAGGTTCAAGTAAGGAATGTGGGTTTACCTCTTACCTTTAAGCTTTGAAAATAATCTATAATTATAGGAGCCTTGAAAGGAGAGGAAAGTTAAGCTGTCAGAGACAAAATATAAAAGTTTGGCTTAATCTTACTTTATGAATAAGTTTTCATACCGCCATTACCGCTGATGAGTTCAAAACAGTCCTGTGTGTGGATGGTGAATGTTCTAAACCAGTAGTTTGCTGATCAGCAGTCTTTTTAAAGTCTTGAGAACAATTCTTTAGCCTGAAAAATGTCAAGTACATTACTTTAAATACCAGCATTAACAGTTTTAACCTTCTGATTTTTTACTCTCTATCAAAAATAATTCATATGATGACTTATAAGAACACATACATTGAGTTCCCAATCACCTATGATAAGCAAAGAGCAGGAAACCATGACTAAATATGCTTTCATATAAAACTTAATTTTAATCAGTTCAACTTCTTAACAAATCTCTAAAAATAATAGCGTACAATATAAATTGTACTTTTCCTAATCACCTAATCACCTCTTCTTACCTGCTAGTTTTTGGTAGAAATGTTGATATCATTACTGAACTATCTTAAGCTCAATTAAAGTAAGTACTTACAGACCTAAATGCCAGCTATTAAAAAAATGTATTTAAAAGTCTGGATAATTTACAAAAAGGTAATGAATTTATTACATAAGTTAATTTGCAAGGGAAAAGTTCCATTTCGTGTCCACAGATGCTAGAATTTTTGCCTATTTTTATCATTATATCCCCATGTTGGCTAGCACACAGTAAGCACTTAGTGTTTGCTGAATAAGTTAATCATACACCTGTAACAATTTATAGAAGAAACTATGATGTTTAAATGTTACTCTCATAAACACGAGACTAATTTTTAAACATTCAATTACTTTGAAAAGTGAACATTCATGTTCTTAAAAACCTAAGTGAGTGCACTAGCTCTGAGGAGTCCATATTCAATTCTTACCTCAAAATATTAAAGATAAATCAGGAAGGAAATATGTTATATATCAAGGGATACTTCAATTTAAAATTTACAACTATTTTAAACAAAACTCTGCTGAAATTAGGGAACAGAAATTTCTAACATAAGGATACTTGACATGGAAAATTTAATTTAAAAAATGGTAATTTGGAAAAATTTGGGATGCTAAAAATGGACTCATTTACTTCTGAAAGTAAAATTTCACTTTGTAACCATACCAGGTATTATATATATCTAGACAAGAGTACAATCAGATTTGATTTGTATGATGTTAAAAAATCAGAAAATTTCACACAGAAGTTCAGATCTCTATTTTCTTTTGGAAAAAAAAAAAGGAGATCTGGAAACACTGAGTTGGTCTTAACACAGCCACAACTGGCTGGAGCTGAATAAGGGCTGTCGCCTTTGGAGGGGATGAACCTTCTTCCAGCTGCCACAATCATTTAAACTCAGTCTCTCTACCTCACCCACTATGTCATCTGCTAGACTCCTATCAGTTTCAAATTTGCATGGCCACTGACTCACATGGAGTCAGAAAGATTACTAAAGATTTATTCTAATCACTGCACACAGAGCTTATGGAGAAAATGACTGGTAGATTACAAATCTAGGAGTTGGGGGAAGTACTGGCATTCAATAAACCTGAGTTCTACTTCTGGTTGTGTCAATAACCGGCCGCCAGACTTTAGCTAAGTGGTTTTACTAGCCAAAGAAATAACTATTTGGGTTTCTAAGCACACATTTAAGTCTGGACAGAGAAACTGCAGCAGTCATGTAAAAAGCCACGAATGCTAGTCTAAAGAGTTATGGATTTTATTTGGAAAGGCAGTGAAGAACCACAAAGCAGAGAAGAGTCTTGAAGTGCTAAGGAGGTAGGCAAAAGAGAATTAAATAGGGTACTACAAATGGAAGATACATTATGAACACGGGAGACACTGGGAAGTTAGAATCAGCAGAAGGTAAAATGAATGAGAGATGAGAAACTAGGGTGATCTTTGGATGTTTGGTGCCATTAACAAAACTGAAAAGTTCCAAATGAGATTGTTCCTTGAGAGTATCCTATGTTTCTTTAATTCTTACATAATTTACTATCATGTTAAATATTTTTTAAAATGTTAAGTCCTACAAAATTATAATTGCTATCTGAGTAGGGTCCCAGTGAATTAATAAGGTTCCTTAACCCTTAAAAAGTTGCAAAACACACAGAACATACTTTTTAGCCTGCAGTTTTTCCATAAAAGAATCTTCTTGAACACATCCATCTAATGGATAATATCCTTGTCTCGTATTTATAGTTGTAGTAAACTTTGGAAAAAATAAGAATAAAAACAAAAACAGAAAGTCACTCATAAATTCTGTTCATCCAGAATTCAAACAATTAGTGTGCAATTCATAAAGTTGATAATAGCCTTAAAAATCCTTAAATCCTCTTTAAAGCAAATAAAAAATTGTACATTGATTATGTTTTACCTTATTTTTATTTTTGAAGAAATTGGTAATTTGGCAACTATTAAACAGAACATTAAATTAACTAAAACTTGATTCTACCATAAGGTATGTTCAAAACTCTAATAAAATACTTAGGGATAAATTTAATAAGAAAATATATAAACTCTAAGAAAACCAAATAATTTATTGGGGATCATAAAACAAGAAATGAATAAATGGAGAATCATGTCAGGTTCATGGAGACAAAGATTTAATATCCTAAAATACATCTAATATAAAATACAATTCTAAAGTTCATATGGAAAATATGCAAGAATTACTAAAATTTTAACATACTATTCAATAGAGATTTATCACACCAGATAATAAATCTACTGTTAAAACACTAGGGTAGCGACACAATAAAGGAGAACAGAGCCCTGACATAGATCAACATGTACATGGGAACTTAATACAGAATACAAGTGACATTTCAATTAAATAGAGGATTATTCAATAAAGAGTCTGGGAAAGTAGTACACCCATCTTACATCCTATATGAATATTATAAAAGGATTAAGTACATACCTTTTTTTTGAAAAACACGATGTAAGTATTTAAAAAACATATATATAACTCTGAGATGGGAAGGTCTGCCTAATCAAAGAAAACCTAGAAACTATGAAAGAGGGGGGTAAAAAACTAAAGAAGGAAAACATTTCTGAATGGTTAAATGTAACAACAAAAAAATTAAAAGTGAAAAATTTGAATAAAATAGTTCAGATACACAAGGCAAAGTGTTAACATCCCTATCACATGAAGTATTCCTACAAGTTAGGAAATGACAATTCAAAAGCAAAATATGCAAAGCATCTCAAAGGGTCTGTTAAAGATCTACCCAGAAGGGGAGCTGAGAAGTCAACTTGTGAAAAGTTGCTCAATTTCACTAGTAGTCAAAGAAATCCAATTTAAAACCAGGAGACACCCATTTTTTGCCCATCAAATTGCCAAACATTAAAATAAATATGACAGGGCCAGCCGAGTGGCTCAGTTGGTTAAGAGCTTGCTCAAGAGTGCAAGCTCTGAGCAACAGGGTCGCCAGTTCAATTCCCACATGGTCCAGTGAGCTGCACCTGAGCTGCTGTTGAGCTGCCAACAGGCAGCAGGATGGCTCAGCTGGTGAGAGCACGTGTTCCTAACAACAAGGTTGCCTGTTCAAGATGGTGGGCTACGCCCACCCGCAACTAAGACTAAATTCAGCACCTTGAGCTCAGCTGCCGCCCAGATGGCTCAGTGACTAGAGCATATGCTCTTAACGAGGCTGCTGGTTTAACTGCCACATAAGTTGGTGGCTATGCCCACCCGCCACTAACTGAACACAGCAGCTTGAGCTGAGCAGCCCGACTGGACTTGGAGCTGAGCTTGCTGCGCCCTCCACAACTAAGACTGAAGGACAACAACTTGTCTGATCCTCTTCCCCAATTCCCCAACACTGTGCCCCTCCCCCAATTCCCCAATAAAATCTTTAAAAATAAACAAACAAATAAATAAATAAGGCAAATTGAAATATGGATTTGTTTTGGAGCTAGAAATTAACAGAACCTGTTGATGGAATTTTTTTGGTAGGAGTGGGTTTGAGGAATTGTGTAAAATATACTGAAAATTTTTGAAAACCACCTAAATGTTTATAATGAAGGGATTGGTTAAGAATTACAGCACTTATGTACAATGATTTATTATGCAGCCATTAAAAGTAATAGAGGAAGGGCCGGCCGAGTGGTTCAGTTGGTTAAGAGCTTGCTCAAGAGTTTGAGCTCTGAGCAACAGCGGTTCGATGCCCGGCCCGAGCTGAGCAGCCGCTGAGCTGCCAACAGGTGGCAGGATGGCTCAGCTTAAAAAAAAAAAATAGAAGAGACTCTCATGAGAATAAGTTAGTGCTGCTAAGAAAATAAAGCAGACAAATAAATGCTATGGTCTCCTATTTATATATACATCTTTGGTAGGGAAGAGGATGTTCTGTCAAGGTTTGAAGTTCGTGTATAAAGACAGCCATGTATTATTAAATACCATGTATTATTAAATAATTAGGGGAAAAGTGTTACTTTTAACAAATCACATTGGACCAAATGTTATTAAGAAAACTCCCTCCCAAATTAGGAACTAAAACCTTGATTTCTATATGCCTTATTTATCACCCTTGGGTTTGCCATTTCAGAGTAAAGCTTTATTCTGCGCCCCCATCCCACCTCCAGCTTTCATTTAAGGTTTATTTATGGTGGTGTTTTTACTTGTTTCTGTTACTTGTAAATGAAAAAAAAATGTGGTCAAATTTAACCAGAATTTTTTCTTTGGTTTTCGACTTCAGTGATATGTTTAACAAGGCTTCCCTAACTATGATTATACAATTATCTATATTTTCTTCCGATGTACATTTTCTTTCTCTTTTTTTTCTTTTTTTAAATTTTTTATTGGGTAACAGTGTGTTTTTCCCAGGACCCATCAGCTCCAAGTCAAGTTGTTCTTTAGTTTTTTTTTTCAATCTAGTTGCGGAGGGCACAGCTCACTGGTCCACATAGGAATTGATCAGGCAACCTTGTTGTAAAGAGCACATGCTCTAACCCACTGAGCTATCTGGCCGCCCCCAGTTTACATTTTCAATTTGTATGTTAACATTTCCAATCCACATGGGATTTTAACACATATTAATTATCTATTAATTGAATGACTTATCCTTTCCTCATGCATAATATATTTTTGGTCCAAAAGATAAAAAAGATACCAGTATTTCTGAATGATACCTATGTATGATCCTATTTGCAACAAAACCTCCCATCTTGCTGTGCAAAATTATAGAATGGTTATTTAAAACAAAACAAAACAGTAATATCAATCAAAAGCAGTGAAGGGATGCTATAAAAAAAACAAAAACCAAAAACCACACAACTATGAAAGGTAAAGGCTGGTAGATAAATCCATAGTATTCACCCAAAGTCAGAAATAAAAACAAAAGTATACCCTTAATCCCGAATGGAATCAGTTTAGGCTTAAGTGTGAAATAAACACAATTACCCAGGCCTTCAACATTAAAGATAGACTATAAACATAAGTTTAATGTGAATACAGGTACTTAAATCTTACTTCACTGAGCACATACTTTTTAGAGAACATACATAACTTAAAAGTAATAAACTACATTCCTGAAGTATTCTATAAATTCAGACTTTTCCGTAATTTAGACTAATTCTTCCATTCTCTCTTATTCCAAATAAATACTAGATATCAGCAAAAATCTAAACTTTAAAAACTAGTATGAGTGATAATTTCAGGAAGATTTCTTGAAGGACTCCTTTAAATAGCGACCAGCTTTAGTGTCTGAAGAATCTGAATATAATCCCTTGTCAATTACCTGGGCTATACACAGGAGGAGGGGGGAAAGAAGGGGAGGATAGGGAAAACCACCTATCTCCCAAAGAAAAGAGTCAGAAATAGTCAAAATAATATTTATCACACAAAATAGATTTATCACAACCTTAAAATCAAAACCAGTATGTGTAAACACACTATAAACATTTGTAAAGATGTTATCCAAAATAATACAAGTATAATGATTTAAGACTAAACATGAAATCATTTGCCAAAAAAAAAAAAAGGCAAAAGTTACTGTTCTAATAAATCTGTTTTTGAATGTTAGAACAGGATGGACATGGGCAGAAACAGTTTCAGCTCCTTTCCTTCTTTACCCACAAGACCAAATCTGTCAGGGAACCTCCCTCCATTACAAACACAGTTAGTCTCCCCTTGGTGGTAACTATGCAACCAGCCACATCTGAGGAACCTACTTACTGTCAAGAAAAGAACGGAAAAGAATTCCCCACAATGAAGAACACAATTCACAACTGGTAAAGTATGTAATTCCAAAACAGACATCTTCTAATATGTAAATGTTTCTGCTACAATATGTATGTATGTATATGTGTATGTGTGTATATATGTATATACATGTATACACACATAAGTACACACATATACATATACATATATACATACATGTGTGCATACATGTACGGGGGTGCAAAAAAAATGTACACAAATTTGTATTCATCTTTTGTTATCAGTATATATTATTACAATTTTAACACAGTTTTTTTCCTTTCTTAAAATGTGTTTACTTTTTTTGGCACCCCCTGTATATACACATATATACATATATATACATATGTGTATACATGTATGTGTTTTTACCATGTTTAATCTGCAAACCAGTTAATCCACACCTAAATAATCAAGGGTCAACTATAACACATATTTTAGGTCTTGAAGCTTGTCGAGAACTTTTACATAATTCAGATTTGACTTACAATCCCATGAGATAAGAAAAGCAGGTATTATTTCCATCTGACAAATGTGGAAACTCAATTTTAGTGTGACAGAATTAGGACTGCATTCCAGGTCTCCTGCCTCTATATTGTCTGCCACACTACCATAGAAAACAATAAATACAAGTCCTCATCATCTGATCTCTCAAGTGGAGCATTAACAATTTGGAGACTAAGACAACTTTTCAGAAACATACCATGTTGAGCTACATTTGTATTTGTAGTAAATGCAAATGATGTTCATTAAATTTTATTTTAAATCCTTTATTTGTCCTCATTATTATGGGTCCATAGATTTCAGTCCTAGTGCAACTGTACTATTTTTAGTGCTTTTGAAATTAACAATAACTTTAGCCACTGTTTTGCTTCTCTTCTTATACTATCGCATCTCTAAAATGTAAATTTAATAACACACAAAGTTTGAGGGGAAGGTGGAGTTCAAAATTTGCTTGCATGGTATTGGTGTAGGAAAGAAGGGTAGGGATTTGAAAGGAATGTATTTCATTAAAATAAAAGTAAATAAAAAGAGGCAATTTCCCATAGATATTTCCAAAGAGTCAAAATATGTATATGTATGTAGGCTGAGTAATGTATAACTTTAACCTTGTATTCTTTTTTTTTAACCTTATATTCTTCTTGATCATTTTGAACAATTATTAAAATGGCTAGGAAAACCTTTATCTTTTGTTAGGCTTCTTGCCTTAAAGACTCAGCAAAAAAAATACACCTCTAAAGTTTCTAACTAGAATTATGGTTTATTTTGCTAACATTTTTACCTTTAACATTAAGTTGTAATGTATTTAATATGAAAGATGATAAAACTTACCTCACAAGCAGGGCATATAATTTTGCTGTATTCTTCAGTTACTAATAAGCACAGTTCACAAAAATCATGTCCACATTGAAGTTCATGGTGCTGACCTATTGATAAAATAGGTCACATTTGTTAACACTGAATGTGCAGCATTAATCAGAGGACAAAATTAAAGAAGATTCTATTGTATAGGAAAAGATACAAAGTTTAGTTAGAAATGGATGACTTATTAAGGAAAAGTCAGGAGAAACTATACAAGTCAAAAGGAGGGAGAAAAATCAGAACAAAAACCAGGCAGAGCTATGTAATATTGTGTGCGTTTAGTTTTTGGTACCTGTACTATATTGAATTTGCCATATCTTATAATCATACAAAGCGCTCTGAAATACTTCATCTGCTCTGTGTAAATATCACGACTAACTAGGCCAGGAATGTTATATTCAACCTGGAGATGGAAAACCATTTTGGTGACGTGGCTAATTAAATGGTATATTCCAGATTCCAGCCTAGTTCTGTTTCCAAGAGCAATGTTCTTTCTACTTGGTCACAATGCCCTCTACTAATTTATATTTTCCATCCTGTGAAGCGCACAGGGAGGGCAGATACGAGACACTGGCAAAACCCCTCTCTTACAAGGATCTAAGATATTGGCAAGTACCGAAGCCAGATACTACTACTGTCACACATGCAAACAACCTACATAAAGATCATTTTCACAAACCTAGCATTTATGAGGGAAATACCATAATCTTCATTAAAAATCTAATATCAAGATTTTAAGGCTCTAAGTAGAATATGAAGCATAATAAGCATATCTGTTTTAGCTCTGAAACTTCAAAAGGATGTTATTTTAAAAGGCACTGCAAGAAAAAAAGGGGGAAAAAGTAGACAAAACCAGTCATTTTTTACTAGCAAAAAATGAATGCCCTTGCTGATTATAATTGCATTCTTTTGATTAAAAAAAGTTTTACAGTTTTTAAGCCCACTGAAATACCTGAAACTTGCCTACAACCAAAGTAAATTTTAAAGCTCTGTTTAAAATTCAGAAACAATATTACCAAAGAAATCAAAACTGTTTAACTGTTTTATCTTTATAAAGTTTCTTATATTGTGCAAGTCAAAACAATTTTTTGGTGTATTACAGCTCACAAAGCACTTTCAGAAGTCTAGACGCATAACCACCATCTTTCCAATTAAATATTTCTAACTAAGCATTGCAACACAAATGCAGGGAAAAAACAGTTATTATAAAGAGTCGTGTTCTAAAACTTTACTTTGTACAATGTAATTTTCTATGTAATATGTAACAGCAACAGTCAAAACCCAAAACCCAGAGCCAAGAAACTTGGCTCTCCACCAGGAAACAAAACCAACGAACTTTCTCTACACATGTTCATGTCTCCTAAACAGAGGCCATCTAAAATCAACTAAGAAAACTGATTGAATGACTCATGTTGAAAGTACAAACATGAAACAGTTACACAGAATAACAAGACTTTTTAGCAAATCCTCCCGGTTGGAAACAGCACTCTGAGGCATTTTAAATTATATTAAAATAAAGTTAAACCTGTTTTCACTTGAGGAGAATCTAAATTAGCGCAATCAATGTGAACCTAAAACTGCTCTAAAATACGAAGTCTAACATATATAAAATAAAGATATTGTATACAGAAAAAAAAAGTAAATTAACAGATCAATAACAGGCCAGTGTATTTTTTTCCCTTGACGTACAGAAAGACACAAGGTGCATAAAAAAAGTAAAGTATCATTTTCCAAACAATGCTTTACATGAAACTGAGCAATAACTTTCCTCCCTCCACCAAAAAAACCTCTATCTGTTTAATTCAGGAACACTTCAGGAGTCTACTTGTCGCTTCTACAACAAAACTACACAAGAAAATCAAGTGTGGTCACTTCCTGACCACAAGAAAAGGGGCTAAATGTGTACAGCAATTCTTTAGTGAACCTGGGGCGTTTCCAACCTGTGCTCAGGACAGCTCACACACCGCCGAGTCGTACAGTTGGTGAGAGAAGTGGACGGGGGGGGGGGGGGGGGGGGGGGGGCGGAGACCGTGGCGTGAGGCTCGACGCCCCGTTCAACAGGCCCCACAGGGTGTCACCACGGCCCTTGGGGGGCGGGATGCCGGTGACGAGGGGCCTATGCGACGGTTTCCACGTCAGTCCCGGCCCCCACCAGCCTAGCTGGCTCCCACCCTCCGCGGGCCACATTCTGTCTCCACGCCTGCCTCCACACTGGAAACAGGCCCGCGGGGCTGACCCTCAGGCTCCTCACCGGAGGCTCTGGTCACCCTTCTTCCACATCGAACGCACTGAATCTCAGCAGCTCCCCAGGGCCGACCCTTCCTTCCCATAGAGGAAGACTGGGAGAGCCAAGGTGTCGAAGCTTCCGACGCCATCGCCGCCACCTTTTGCATCCGATGGCCGGTACCGCGTGCTAGTCCCGGCGTCCCTCGCACCAGCGACCAATCATCGGAGGCAGCTGCTGCAGGTAGCCAATCAGCGGGCAAAGAAGTTAAAGCCCGCCCCCTCCGCTTTGGCTTTGCGGGTGGCTGTGCAGGTTCGGGGAGGTTGTTTTCCGTTTCAATCTGGGCCTCTCCATTCCAAGGAAGGGCGCCACGAGGTAGTAAAGGACCATTTACTTTCTAATCTTTACCAAAAGCGTTACCCGTTGAGCACTCTTAGTGCATTCAAATCCAGATTTCACATATTATTTACGCTGTTATTGACCTCACAGGCAGCAAACAGTCCCCCATATTGAAGGGAATCCCCCTTCCCTAGTATCTATCAGGGCCAGAAACCCCAAACTTGTAAAACAAACAAAAAATGTGTGTGTGTGTTTTAATCACATCTTTATCTGCGAGGAATTTGAGGACTTGACTACTAGTAGCCTCAATGGAGAACCTATCAGTGGCTACCGGTGGGGAAATTCAATTAATTTCAAAGTAAAGGGTGATCATCATTACCAACAGTTGTTGAGCTGGGAGCAATTGGAGATGCTAAGAATTTATAAAAAACAGGCATATAACTTCTACCTAATGTTAGGTCTCTGAATGTTAGAGACCTTGACTTAATGTTAGGTATCTGAATGTTAAGTCTCAGAGACCTTGACTTACAGACAGAGCCATGTCTGCAAGAAAACAACAAAATGTCTGTTGGCCTGCACCTGCAGACAGAGCCAAACTTGCAATAACAGAAAATGCCCCCAAACAGCTACTGGCTTTCAGGCAGTCATCATTTTCTGTTCAAACAATGCTACTCTGTCAACACTGGCCGCTATATAACCCTCCTCACCCCCTCCCTCGGAGCTGCAAGCCTCCTTTAGACATGCAGCCTGGGCTGTAGCCATCTTTGTTCAGCCTGATAGACTTTCTCTTAATAAAATAGACTTTATTAAACTTTCTTAACTTGCCTGACTGTGCATGTTCCTTTACCAGCCTACCTATCACATAAAACAGTAACTTCTGCTAAGGTAGCCTGTGGTAAGTGCCAAAGGGGAATTAGAGACACTAAAAATCACTGTCCTCTGGAGAGTTGAAATCAATATGGCCTACAGGAATACCTGCCTAGAGGACACAGGGTTTGCATTAGACCTGAAAACCTGTGTAGGACTTAAAGAAGTAAACAGGAACTGAGGCATTCTAGGGAGAAGGAACAGCACAATCAAGGGAAAGTAGGTGGGAGATGAGTGGCCTTTTGGGATTTTATAGACCGTTTGGCCAGAGTTTTAATTTGCTTAAAGTAAGCTTTATGATAGCGATGGACCACACAGATATGAAATTTTGGATTAATGGAGAGATGACAATTTCTGCTCCTAGCCAGATTGGAGGCCTTTTGTATGGATCAGCAAACTTCAACCTTGCTGCTATGAAGAGTTAGGGGACAAGATGGGGACTGCAGTGCCCTTTCTTGAGAAATAACTCCAAGAAGAGCTCTGGGATCCTAAAAGTTGGGGAAGTGACCTGCAGGGCTCGATGAAATGAATCCCTGTGAACCTCCCAATCTTCCTGAGTTGGGTGTGGGCACTAGGTGGCAGAGTTCAAGCCACTGCTTACCTGAACTCAGCCTGCAGGTATTTAGTTTGTGATCCCCAGACTTGGGTGTGCTTGAGAATCCCTTGCAGAGGCTCTGATTCTGGAGGTTGGGGTGGAGCCTTGGCATGTGCCACTGAGCAGCTGCCCTGCTGCAGGACATAGTTGTCCCGAGTCCCACCTGCGGGACAGATTGCCTTATTTGTACACCTTCTGACTCCTCAGTGGTTCTCGTACATTTCTCTAGTTTTTGCCATTCCAAGATGTACATGTACTGTTATCTACATTAGGCTTTCTTCTTTTGGAAACACAAAGCTGTAGACATTGAGGGAGAAACAACACCCAGATTTTCAGCATTTTTGTTTGTTTGCATTGAAGCAAGTTATTAGGGTTAGGAACTTTTTGGGAAGCAGAGTGAGTCCGAGTTCAGGCTCCGAGTTCACTCTGTGGTGAGGCAGCCAAAGGGAAGTGCATTTGGGGTTACCTTCTAATAGAAAAAACAACCTGTTGGTTTAGACTCTCGTAGTCACTGGTCATACATGCTATGCTGTGAGCTGTAAGGCTTTCCTGCCCCATGGGCCTTTCCTCAGGAGCCCTTCACCAGGCACCTGGCCAGAGGGTGGGTAGGTATATAGCTGCAGCCCTCTGTTCTTGACCTTACCAAACTCTAACCTGCCTTTTCTCATCGGGAGAAGGCTGTCTGTCTCTCCTCTCAGACATTGTAAAAGAGTAAAAACATTTCCTGCAAAGCTCAAGCAGCAGAGTCACTTCAGTCTCATGCTGTCTTGTGTTTTTCTGGCTGCCATTTTTGGTTCTAAATGCCATTTTTACTTTCTGTACTCTAGTACGGGATGCAATTGAATGAGGTTCACAAACCCTGGTTACGATTCTAACGGAGATAACGTCAATGTTGATGATGGCTTCAGAGAGAAGATGAGAAAATAAGTGAAGGAAGATTTGAGAATTAAAGGTAAAGGGGGATTTGAGAACTACAGAATGGCGGCTGAGTGGGTGGGGCAGGGGCCACATGATCACCTTTTCTGCCCTTTTGTCACAAGGGAAATTGAATTCTCTCAGCCTTTCTCTCCTTCTCAGAGGTTCTCCTCTTCTCTCTTCCCACCCCCTCACCTTTCATCTTAAAGGCAAATAAACACATCTGAACTGACAGTTTTCTGGAAACCAATATACTCATTCCTATATTCACTGGCCTATCTTATTTTAGTGGAGACAGTATGTTCAATGTCACATTTCACCACTATGTTCATACATAAAGCTGCTCTCAAATCCCTGGCGCCTCCTTCAAACCTCCCCACCCAGGGCTCAACCCCGCGGTGGACTCCCACCAAGCACTCTTCAGATCTCTGTAGTTGATTGCACCATCCACGTTAGCACCCAATTGTGCTCTTTCCTAACCCATTTGAGGTAGATTGCATTTTCCTAAAGATGGCCCCCATAGCGTCTCCTGCAACGTGCTGTTGACACTCCCTGTGGTGGTGTTGGTGGTGGTGGTGGTGGATGAGGGAGACAATGGGCCCAAAAGAAGCTGAAGCGGTGGGCAGAGACAGATAACGAAGAGCACCATGGGGTGTGCTAAAACTGTGGATTTTATGAAGCAGGGGAACATTAGACTCCCACTGCTTTCTCTCTTTTATGTTGGCAGCAATGTATAGAAGAGCTTCAGTTGTAATAGTGAGGTAGAAAATTATAGGCAATCAGGAAAATGGCGGGGATTAGGGAAAGAGGAAATAACTTTAATGGCTGGCTAGTACAATAGATTCAAGCTGCAGGACCTGCCAAACTCAGGTGTGGGTCAGGTGTAGGGGGAAGGAAGGCTTTTCGGGCTTTTAACAAAGAAAGTCTGAAAAGCCCTCGAAAAACTTACCAGCCCAGGTGCAAGGGGAGAACCAATCAGTAAGCAGATTCAAACAACAAAGCCCACCTAGGTTGTCAGCCCAGGTGTAGGTAGCCAATTAGATTATGATAAACTATTTAAAAGTACAGCCCAGGTAATAGGAAAAACCAATCAACTCTGACTCAGAGTCGTAATAGTTCCCAGTCTAGCCACACCCACAGAGCATTTCATTTTCCAGTCTTCCGTCTTTGCGGTCCCACAGAGAACTCTTCTCTCGATTCTCTTGCACTTTTGCAATAAAACTGCTATTGCTTAAAACTTGCCTCTCTGGATCCGCGTTTCCATTCTTCTGTAACAGCGGGATCATGATCCCAGTATTACATCAGGAATCCTAATTCAATGGTGGCCCTAAATCTATTTTGAGATTTGGACCTCTGGTATATAATTCGATTTAACAAGTGTAAGTTAGCTTGGGACTTTTAGAAAGTTTTTTTTTTTTTCTGTTTTCTTTACCTCCCTTCCTTTGCTTTCCTCCCCTCCAGCCAAAACTTAATGATTCTGTTTACTATACATTTACTATGCATACCAGTTTCAATGGTTTTGTTTACTTCAGCCATGTAGGCCCTGTGACTTGGGAAAGGTTTTACCGTATTTGCCGGCGTATAAGACGACTCGGCGTATAAGACGACCCCCTAATATTTCCACTCAAAATACAGAGTTTGTTATATGGTCGGCTGTGTGCGATTTTGCGAGTGTGGTAAAATCGCATAACAGCAAAATCGCGTAACAGCCGAGCATACACCCAGCAGCGCTGCTGATGCCTGAACGGTATGTGGAATGAAGTGGGCGGGCATCGGGAGGCCACTATGGCACGGGGCAAGCACTATGGGCAGTCTATCTGAAGTGTACCTGGCGTATAAGACGACCCCCCACTTGGAGGCATATTTTTCAGGGCCAAAAAATCGTCTTATACGCCGGCAAATACGGTATATCTGTATGGGATGCACTCCTTACTGGTTTGATCTAGTTGGGTATTTTGTCATAGAATAAGTTTATTATCAGAGCACTGGTGGTCTGAGAAGGCAGTGGGTTAGCACCTCCAAAAACTGCCTTAACATTCTCAGACCAGCTGGGAGTATTTAAGGGAAAATCAGGGTACTCTCCCAGACGTCCTGGAGGTCTGTTCTCCTTTCATGATGCCCCCTCTGTCATTGGGAACAGTGGGGGAGTAACTTGGGAAAATACTAAGTGATAGAGTTTGTAATTAGCAAGCATCTACATCTTAGAAGATCTTCTAAGATAAGGAGCCAGAACCAGGACAGGGCATCCCAGAGGCATTCTGAGTACAGGGGGCCCAGGTGGGCCCTGCTTCAGTCCCCAGTTTTATATTTTCTAACCAGGATGGAATTTTCCATTGAGTTCGACTTTGTCTGTTGGGGTGGGGGAAGGTGCAGGTAAGCTGGTTATCACAACTCTTGCATATGTTACCTAGATTTAAGTTGGAGCCAGGAGTGGATACCATACAGATACAAAACCTTTACTAAGTCACAGGGCCAGCACTGGGCCAAAGTAAATGGAAACATTGAAACTGGTATGCCTAATAAATGTATAGGAAACAGAATCATTAACATTTGGTGGAAAGGAAGCAAAGAAAGAAAAGAAAGCCCCAAGCTAAATTACACTTGTTAATTTGAATTAGACCAGAGATCCAAATCTCAAAATAAAAGATTTAGTACCACCATTACAATCCCCCTCTCATCATTTAGGCAAATCCATCTGTTTGAGATGCATTAGCCTCATCTGTAAAGTGCCCAGGTCATTTCTCAGGTTTATCCTGAGGAGTGTGTAAGAGCTTTGTAAATGGTCCACTGTTAACAAGTGTGAATTATTCATGATATTTCCTAAATGAACTTCAACCTCTCGCGTTCCTGAAGATGAATGAGTGGAAAGAATCTGGGGCTGTGGCCCCGGGCTGCCTTGTACACTTGTAATGAACAGTGTGATGGAAACTGGTGGCAGCCTGCTCTTTACACTCTGTTTTCTAAAATTCTGTGACCAGGCTGCATCAGCATTCACACTGTATGAGTGAGACATGGATAATGAACTCTCCACTAATTCATAATTTCGCCAGCTCTGCTCTATGGTTGAACCCAAAATCACCTTTCAGAGGTTGGTCCAGGGGAAGTATGAGGGGTCCTGGAGAGATCTGGCTGCTGTGCTTCATAATCCAGGCCTGTTTTGTCAGAGCCTCCGTGTTCCTTCCTACAAAATGCAAATGTAATAATAAGCCTGCTTCCCCCGTTTAATTCCCATGGATGCTATCAAGCTAAATGGAATTTTCAAAATTGCCTAAGACTGTTGTGGGCCAACCGAGTAACACCCCCCCCCCTCGCCCACCAAGACTTTTAAGTGTTCTTTCCTATAGAAATGTTAAGTCTCCTCCCTAGTTTCTTAGTTCCTTAGTCCCTGGTTTTGATTACTCTTCTAATCAGTTTCTGAAACCTAGACTAAAGATTGCTCCTAGACTGAATCACAGAATATCTCTCACCCACCCTGGCTTTAGATAACTACTTAAAAGCCTGTGACTTCCCTCTTTTTAGATGCCTTCCTCCCTTTTTTGAGCCTCGCTTTTGCTGCCTTTGCGCTTGCCCAGCTCCAAACTCTTTGGAATGTAATTTCTCTTCTAATAGTGGGCCTTTGAGCCATTTTCTACTGCTCAAGCCTACTTCTATTTCTTTAAAATATACTATCTCTTCTAATAAACTGCCTTTTCACTACTTTTCTCCGGCATCTCATCCAATTCTTCGTTCCAGACTCCAAAGAACCTAGTCACAGCGCCAAGAAAGGCCCACTCTCCGACAACATATTTTGGCGAGCCAGCCAGGAGGTAAGCCCCAAAGGGGACCTAGAAATCTCTTGCTCCTTCTTCTGTAACTTCTTTTGTTTGCCGTCCTTTGCTGGCAAGGGTTGGACAGTTAATTGGACTTTAGGGCATCCGCCACTTGAAGACTCCAGTGTTAGGATGACCTGGTCTTAGAACAAGTCATTTAGGACTTGCCTGGCTCAAGAAAAGTTCAAGCACCAGTTAGGTCTGTGTTTGTACAGCATAATGTCTCCCTGGGAGACTTGATTTAACATCTCTGTTTTTTTCTTTTCTCATCATCTCGCTGAACTCCTCTGGGCACCCTAGCCTGCTGCCCCTCTGCCCCGCCTCCTCTCCCCCTTGGTGGGGGCAGGGCGCCACCACTGGGTGCATTTCCACCAGAGCGGTGAGTTGCAACCTGCACTGGGTCTGCTGGGAAGGCTGACAGGGAAGGTGGCTTGGGGCGGGGCTCAACCTCTCCCTGCTTCCCCTGGGGGAGGAGGAGGGAGCTGATGATGGGACCAGCCTTCCCATAGCAGCACTCCCGAATCCGGAGGCGAGGCAACAGACAGATGCTGCAGCTCTCCACCCCACCCAGCTTGGCAGTGGAGAGGAGGGCCTTAAAAATGCGGCTGTCACCACCTGCCTAGCCTAAGTCACAGCTTTCCTTGCCTCCTAACTATCTCCTCATGTCTACTCTTCCTGGCCACCCCTCTATCCTCTACACAGAAGCCAAAGTGATCTTAATACGTCACCTGGAGCAAGTCACTGCCTTATCTCCAATACTTTGACATTGTGCTAGGGATGAAACCCAGCCTCCTTCACTTGGACTACGAGACCCAAGATGATAGGACCCTTGCCTGCTTCTCTGCCTGTCTGAGGAACCAGTTTGCCAGATGCTGTCCCTGTGCCTGCCACACTGCACTGTCCTCAGAGCTTTTGCAGGCCTGTCTCCTCCTCCTGGACTCTCCACTCTTTACAGTGCCTGGCTGCTCCTTCTCATTCACCTAAAAGGACTTTCCGGACTACCCTGTTTAAAGCAAGCTCCCCACACCTCCCCATTCTAGAACTCACTATCTAAGCCTCATTATGTCTTTAAAACCCTGACCACAATTGGTTATCTTCTCTGCCCCTCCACTGGAGAGCCAGGACAAGAGTCTTCTTGTTCCCTGCTGTATTCTCAGTGCTCTGTAGACACCCCACACATCTTTGCTGAATGAATTAAAACCTTTATTAATGACAGGCAAGGTAAATAGTCACTTTATGGTTGCTGGTGGGAACGTAAAGTGGTACAGCTTATCTGAAAATAAATTTGGCAACGTGTATCCAGAATACTTTAAAAATGTTCTTAATCCCTAATTCCATTTTGAGAACTTTATTATAGAGTAATCAGAGATGTGGTAGAAGATTTATTGACAAGATACGACCTTTAAAAAAAAGAAAAAAAACGGGGCGTGGCCGGAAAGGGGGCCGCCCCCTCGCCCCTCACGCCTGGCGCTAAACCATTTGTAGCCGACCTGCTTCTGGGTTGGGGTTTCTTACGTAGCAGAGCAGCTCCCTAGCTGCGATCTATTGAGTCAGCCCTCGACACAAGGGTTTGAGAAAGAGAAAAGAAAAAAAATAAATAGAAAAAAAAAAAAGAAGAAAAGAAAATAAGGAAAAAGAAAAAAAGAGGAATAGTAGGAAATAAATGAACCATCCAAAACTGGGGATATGGTTAAAACCCTCTCGGTATAGAATACTGTGCAGTCATTAAAATCACATCTTCAATGTTAAATAAAAAGGCAAAAAAGAAAACTTGATATTTCAGTTTTGCCTAAAAATAAATATATGCGTAGAAAACCCCAATGAAATGACCACTGTTTCATTTAGGTTTATTAATAGGTAATGTGATTCAAGGTGATTTTAATTTTCTTTTTATCCTTCGAAATTCCAAATTTTCTTAAATAAGGTGCAATTTTATAATTGGATTAAAACATAGATTGTCTCAAAAAAAAAAGACTATAAATCCAGCCTCATCTTTATCTCTGAGTTACCTATGCCACACCAATTAGATTTAAATTAACTCTTGTTATTCTTCTAAAAAGTATCTAGGCCTTAGTGGGTCCATGAAGTAGTCCCTCCAAAAAAAATAAAATAAACCACCTCTGATGTGGTACTTGATTGCCTTTTGCTGTCTACAACTTAATAAAATGACCTGGTATGCCCATCTCATTTCTGGGATTCCTTAGTCATTTGTTCATTTTTACAAATATTTGAGTGTCAGATTTTTGCAAGAGCAGGTATGCACAGTATGAAAGTTTTTCCAGACAGGGTTTCTGCTGTGAAGAGACTTCCATTTCGAATTTAACTCCTTTCAAACCGAATCCAATCCCAGGTGAACCCCCTGGCAGCTTTTTGCTGTATTTACAGCCTCCTCAGTCTGGTTCTGGCAGAACCAAGAGCCATCATGACCAGGAGCACTCTGACAGCCTAGCAGGAAAAAGGGTAGGGACAGATCTGTCCTAGTTGAAGTTTGGAGGGAATTCCAGCCTTGTTGAGGCTGGAATGAAGCCAGGGTGACGTTGCCTGGGGGGTTTCCAGTTCACTGGAACTACTGAGATGAGATTAGTCCAGGGATAACTGTGATAATTGTGGCTGAAAATAGAGATAAAAAACCATGAGGACAGGGGCAGCAGAGTGGCTCATTGGTTTAGAGTTGGCTTGGGAGCACGAGCCGCCCATTTCAGATCCCACATGAGGGCCAGTGACACTGCGCCCTCTACAGCTAAGATGGTGAACAACAGCTCGACCTGGAGCTGTGCTGCCGTGAGTCGCGTAGGCTGCAGTGGGCTACCGTGAGTGGCCGGCAGCCAGCGTGAGCAGCCAGAAGCTGGTGTGAGCGGCCGTCCAAGGGCCGACAACCGATCTGCCTCACCTGGGAAGAGCACAATGATCACAATACCAACATGGGCCAGTGAAGCGACATCCTCCACAACTAGACTGAAGAACAAAAGGACAGAAACTTGTCTGTTCCCCTTCCCCGATTCCCCAACACTGTTCACTTCCCCAATTACCCAATTAAAAAAAAAAACAAAAACCACGAGGACAGCAGCATTTTAAAAATTGAAATACACACGTACAACACACGCTGCACATTATAATCAATTTACACAGTTACAATGCTGCACCCCTGGCTTCTTTCATGCTTCTAAATGTGATCCCTGAGAAGAAGGTAGAGAACCATGGCTCTAAGTCTCCCTTTTCCTGTTCAGATACTAATAGGGAAGAGCCACTGAATGGAAAATGGTTAACCAGATGTAATTTTCAGGCTCAGTCCAGTCAGTCTGTGCTGTTGATGGAAAGGCTGTGAACACTAGTGTCCCTAGGATGCTGCTGATGAAAGCTGTATCCTCACTTAGAAATCCTGACTTAGAAATGTGGTCCCATCAGAGACCCTGCGGTGTACAGGGCGGGATGCTGGTGAGGGAAGAGTTCAGAAGGAAAATCATCTATTTTCAGACCTTCCATAGGAAAGTAAAATGACTAAAGGAAACAGAAAAATTGAAATCACATCTCATCTGTGTGTGTGTGTGTGACCTACACTTTACACTGTAGAAAACCTTAAATTAATTAGAACACCACAATGAGACCTGGTTTTATAAAACACCTTTTACTTAAAAACGATGCCTCTCTGGGGCTGTCAACATGGATGCATGTGTCACACATGAACCAACCTAAACCAAGGCAAGAAACATGATGGATGTAAAATGAGTGATTTGTGATTGTTTGACAAGAAATAAACATTGCTGCTTTAAACCATAACAGTTCTCTACTGAGGTTGCATCCTGGGAAATGAAAACCCTTTTGGGTCAGGGGACTATCTGGAGCAGGACACGCAAGATGGGCTTTGACCTCTGTTTTGGAGGAGTTGGTGGTCGGGGAGGAAAAGAGTGTGAGAGGGAGGGAGTCCTCCTAGGAAGGGGAGGACAAAAACGATGGTTGAGGGGGTACAGCCAGGGAGCTGAAGACCTTTAAGAAGGACATCTCAGAGTCAAAACTGAGGTCCATGTTGCTGTGGTGTCACTTTCATCTCTTGCAAACTGTCAGCTGAACCAACCTTTTTTGAGCAAAGTAACTGAAAATATAAGTTCTCTGGGAAGTCACAGAAATCTTTGGGAGGTTGTTGGACTTTTAACTGGGTGGGATCGAGGTCTGAGCAATCCTATCCAAGGCTTACAGAGCAGGGAGACCCCAGCAGGTGTCTAGATTACCCAAGACTATTTCACATGAGTGAGCTTTATATACATATAAACACGTCACTCTTCCCTACACTATTATCTTGAAATTCACATCTTTTAAAATAAGGAGATGGCTATAGAGATGAAAATTATATATACACAGTCACATCTCTGCTTTAAAGTACAAAACATCCTGGAATGTCTTTCACATGGTCATCCGCCTTCACCCATGTGCATTCTGATGACACCTAATACAGTGACGTCCAGGTGAGCGGCCCACAAGATGGAGCGGAACGTCCCCAGTGTACAGGTGGGAGGCGTGGGGAGTGAGGTGGTCTTAATAATACATGTTCTTATCCCACCAGCCTGCGGAGGTAGAAAAAGTAAATTAGAAATGGGCAGCTTGTCGAAGTGGCTAAGCAGGGTCTCAAAGATCACCCTACACTTACTTCCAGGGTAGAGTCTGATGAAGAGTTTCCGTATCTCATCATACACCCAGATGAAAATGGCGTGTGGCACTGCCACAAACCAGTACTGAGGCCTGAAAGCAGAGGAGAAGGTGAGCCCAAGTGCATCCAAGGGAGGGCCCAGACCCCGCCAAGGGGTTGAGCCCCCCGGCCCCTTTCATTTCCCTGCCTCTCTGGAAAGAACAACAGGTACACTGGGTGACACAACATAAAGCTGGAAAGCTCCGTATTTAACATAGACTGATCACAAGAAGCAACATCTGATTTGAGGTGACCTGTTGGATGAGGGTAGAGGTGGGATGGTGAGGTGTGGAAAACCCATTTCCTCTTCTGGGAAAACTAGCAGGTCGAAGCCTCCAACTAACAGAGAACCAACTCGGTTTTGTCTCTTCTGAAAGACCTAATGTTTATTTAGGCTGTGACAGCTCCAAGTAAGGCTGGCCCTTTCCTCCCCACTTTTGAAGGAACTCACCGGAGCATGGTGAAATTCAGGGCTGTGACACTTCCGAGGCCATAGGAGAGGATGAGGGCGATGATAATTTGCGAGGCAATCCCCACCCAGATGACTTTATTTCTGCAAGAAACATGAAAGCATAAAGATCCTGGTTCCCATGGCCCAGGACCACACACCCAGCGCCCAGTGGAGTCGGTGCCTCGAGTGGTACAGGCGGGGCCCTCATCACTGGGGCAGTGGAGGCCCAGATAGACCCATGAGGTTGGATGTGGGCAGTACCTAAAGAGACCCTGCTGGAAGATGGAATTCCTCCGGGTTTTCCTGATGATCAGATCTGCTATTTGCTGGACCATGATACCCACAAAGAAAGCCGTGTAGCCCATCCATTCTAGGTATTTCCTCTGGTAACGTGTCTGTCAGTGGACAGAGAGGAGACAATGAGACCCTACAGGGGATAACTGCAGGGAGATTTCCATGCAGTTCTGAGAAGCTCTACTCTTTCCCCACCTCCCTGAGATTTACAGATTCACCACCTTTTGTTTAGAAAGAAACATTGTCTTTCTTCTTTACCAGGTGAGTAGGAAAAGATGCTAATTAATTGATTTCGCTCAACTGTGGGCATTGTTGGGCTGGTTACTCCTCCCTAAAAAGGTGACCTTTAGGCCAAACCAATGTCACCCAGGGGCCCACTAGCACTGTTGACTGAGATAACTTTTCACCTTCTCTGTGTCATTAAGGCCATCTAGGGAAACAAATTCGCATCAGTCCGGGCAGGGCAGTGACAGGAGGGCGTTAAAGGCGGAGCCCCTCCTTACCCATTCTTGTCCGTAGCTGTCTTCCAGGTCGTTCACAGAGTCCTGCTCCCATTCCACCCGGAGGTTTATGAGAGTGCTGGGTCTGAAGCCCTGCTGTGCATACACAGTGAAGTACACAAGGAAAGCTCCCAGGGACTGCATGAGGCCTAGGAGAATAGGAGGTCAGCACAGCTCTGTCCTCATTGTCCTGTTCCTTCTCCTGCCCAACCCCCCCACCCCACAAGGGAAAACCCAGTTTCTGACTGACAAGCGGGAGGCACCCTCATCTTACCGATGTGCAGGTAAGAGTAGAGGGCAAGTGGCTTGTTCACCAGCCGGTCCCGCTTCTTGTGACGAGGCTTCCTGTTCATGATGTCACTTTCAGCTTTCTCATAAGCCAAGGCAATGGAGGGAACCTGGCGGGGAGGGGCCATGAAGCCCACCCTTGAAACACTGTGCTGCACCCACAGGATGACAGCAGGTGCAGTCAGGGGTCTTGGGTGGGGGTGGGGCCGTGGATGGTGGTGGTATGGTATGGATCAGGTCTATCAAGGGTGCAGGCAAGCAGGCTGTGTTGCCTACATAGAATTTAAGAACAATTGGCTTAAAAAATCAACCTGCTTTTCATCATCACATGCTGGCCGTTCTACACAATGACCTGAGTTATAAGTCACTTTACATCTGGGGCGGATTTCTCCTAAAAACCCCTCTGCCTTTGGGCATGCTGCTGGATCAGTGGTTCTCTCTCAGGTCCTCCAACCTGGAGGGCCTGTTAAGATAGATCGTGACCCCTTCCCCCTCCAGACTTTCTGATTCACCTGGGGCCAGAAATTCTGCATTTCTAACAAATTCCCAGGTGATGCCTGGACCACACTGGAAGAACCATGCAGTGGAGAAAAATGAGCAAATTTAAAGGGCCTGGAAATGATCTGACTGTAAACTTTGGGGATCTCACTTCTCCTGTAAGGTAAAGCCACCTCCAGTCTTCCTGTAGCACAGACATGACCTGGATGTTGTGTGAGGCAAGAGAGGGGCAAGGCGGCAGTTTGCCGTGCTCCTAACTGAGTTCAGGCTGCTCCCTGTTTCCTTTCCCCCTTTTGCCTGTGTAAGCCAGGGCAGTGTGAAAACTGTCGCAAAGCTTTCTGACATGGGTGCAAGGAGCAGAGGGGAGGGTTTGGGTGACGTCATTTGTAGGTCAATGTGAGGCTTTATAACTGCAGCTTCTTACTATGTTGATGCAGGGGACTTCCAGATCACAGATCTTTTTATAAGTAAAAGGGGTGGCTGTGGGTTACCACTTTAGCCACTGAGCCCCCAGCAGCACTAAGGGACTATCTTGGTGACCTCTGCATTCTCTCAAAAGAGAAGGGAGACATGTGAGCTGAACCTGATCAATGGTGTATTTTGGGGGAAGGGTGAAGAACTAATGTTTTGAACTACTTTTCATTTCCTCACCTTTGACAGATCTCTCTAATTCTTTGCTTTAAAGTGTGGTTGGTGGACCAGTGGACTTGGCATCATGTAAGAGCTCATTAGAAATGCAGAACGTCAGGCCCCATCATGTTGAAGTTTAGAAGCATTGATTTAGTCCAACTCCTTGCCCTTGAAGGAAATGACTCTGATGTTTCTATCACCTGGGGCACTTGTCGGACCCTGTTCCCTTTAGTGCTACTTACGATGTCTGTGCCCAAGTCGATGAACAGGATTGTGATGGTGCCAATGGGCAGGGGTACCCCAACGATGATGTAGATCAGGAAGGGGCACAGCTCAGCAATGTTCTTGGTCAGAGTGTATGCGATGGTCTTCTTGAGGTTGTCAAAGATCAGGCGACCTAGGCAAAGATGTTTCTCCTTATAGGACTGGCTTTTGGTCCCCCAGGTGACCCCAGTTCTCAGGAAGACCATTTGGGGGAAGACCACACACCTTCCTCTACCCCTGTGACTATGGATGCAAAGTTGTCATCCAGCAAGACCATGTCGGCTGCATTTTTGGCAGCATCTGACCCCGCTATCCCCATGGCAATCCCAATATCCGCCTTTTTTAGAGCTGGAGAGTCATTCACTCCGTCCCCTGTCACAGCGACGACTGCATCCTGTGGGGACACAGTGAGAAAAAGGGAGTGAGCAGGACTACTAGGTCACAGGTTGGGCAAGAACACCGTCTCCCTTTCGTCTTGAGGATGTGAGGATGACTGGATAGAGTAGGGTCCATTTTGGGTTTGGGGGAAAAGATAAAGAACAATGAACTCAAAACAAGATGTATTCGAATAACTAAAACCAGTGTGTGTGGCTGGCGCCAGGGATACCATTGGCCTTTCATATCCACAGGTTTCCCATCCACAGATTCAATGAACTGCATATCAAAAATATTCAGAAAAAAACCCCAAACAAACCCAGAAAGTTCCAAAAAGTGAAATTTGAATTTGCCACGTGCTGAGCACAATGCTGACTCCATGCAAATGAAGTGATGTGTGGGCACACCTTGCTGTATCCTCTATGCAAATGTAGGTTATATGCAAATACTACTCCATTTTATATAAGAGACTTGAACATTGCGGATTTTGGTATTGGGGTGGGGAGAGGCTGGGGTCCTGGAATGAATCCACATCAGATAGTGATGGATAACTGCATATTTTATATCTCATGTCTTTATATTTTTGTGTTTTTTTCTTACATTTCACTGTCAGAAAACCCTTTGGGAGTATGGAGCTGCATGGGGATGGGGGTCACAGGAGGGCAAAGGGTCAGCCCCCAAGAAGTGGAGATGTCAGATAACAAGGAAGGATGGGCAAGGAGCTGTCCCGAGAGGTTGAAAAAGCACCACAGTCTTGATCTGGGAGCCAAATCTCCGCCCTGCGTTTCCCCGTGGGACAGTGAAGAACTGGGAGGTTCCCTGGGCGCTGCTGCCCACTCACCTGTCTCTGACAGCCCTCTACAATGAGCAGCTTCTGCTGGGGGGACGTCCGGGCAAAGACAATTTCTGGGTAGCTGGTTAAGACCTCATCCAGCTGTTCCACGTTCATGTCCTTTAGCTCCATGCCCGTTACCACCACGGCTTTAGCGTCCCTAGAAGAGCCAGAAGGAATCGTTTGAGGCCAAAGGTCAGGTCTTGGGCTGGAACACTATTCTGGGAAAGAAGTGGGCTGAAGCCTGTTTGACTTCACTGGGAACCCAATGTCCCAGACACCCAATACTCTAGTGGGATGACGGGTTATGAGTACTACTGGGGACACTGTCCATTTCAAGACAGTAAACTGAGGCTAAAAAAGGCCATTTCCTGTTATCACACAACAAACAACAGGAGTAAGCCAAAGGGCTTTTTCCTGACAGGAATGGGTGAGAAGTGGTACTTCTTGGGCAATGTTTTACTTACCAAGTAAAAGGGGGGTTAGAACAAAGCCCTAAAAATCCACCTGTTTATGTTTTGGGTCTTAAAATTCAGCTTATGCCAAAACATGGATAACAGTTCCTGGTTATTGTTTACTTTAGATTTATAGAGTGTCTACTATGCAATAAGCTATGTAGGGAGAAAAGTTTCTTGAGATTTTTCCATGAGGAACACTACTGTCTGCTATGAAATAAGGTTCTAGAAACTATTGATTATTCAGATCTGCTAAAACTCTTCAGAGGTGGTCCACGGTGCTTACAGTAGACCCCCAAATCCCTAACTTGGTTTGCAAAGCCAGGAGCAGCCCATGCTGTTGGGCCTCCCCCACCTCCAGCCTATTGGACTGCTCAGTCTGAACCCGCTCACCTTCCACGGCCCTAACGCCTTCACAGGTCTTGCTGCCTTGCCTTCCCTTGGCTAACACTCCACATTTCAACCTTCAAATCTCAGCCTAAACACTCCCAAGTGCAAAACACCATGGGCCTTTTCTTTATATTTTTTAAGTTTTGAGCTTTTTTCGGTCTGTTTTCTCCTGCTGGTGCTAAATATTGGAATTCTAGCACTTGACCCAAACCACAGGTCTTCCTAAGTTCTGGTAAAAAAAAATATATAAAAGTAAGATAAGGAAAGGGTGGTTCTGTTCTTCCTACAGCTACAAAAATGTTATCATATGATCATGAAGCCAAGTTAAAAAAGTGGATAACTGAAAACATTCACAGAAGTATCCACCTGCTCTCCTGTACAGTGTAGTAACTTGTGTGAAAATTGGTAACTTGTTGCCCTGGGGATAATCTATTACCTGACAGCTCTGTATTCTTAAAAGGCATAAATGCTCGGGTAAACTAGAAGAAGTTCACTGGTCTTTCCCTGATTCCCCATTATGCATGAAAGTATAATAAAGCCACAATGACATTTATTTTCACACTGACACCCCAGGGTCTTTGATCATTTAAATTATCAGCAGTCCAGCTAACTCTCCTCCTACTGCCAGTTCCTCTGTTTCCTGTGTGTTTCCTTCATTAGACTCATCACATCACAATCAGTTTTGATTTTTCTGCCCCTCTATCTAGATGGAAAGCTCCTCAAAGTGGCCGGACGAGTGGCTTAGTTGGTTAGGAGCTCATTCAAGAGTGTGAACTCTGACTGAGTGGATAAGAAAGCAAGACCTTTGCATATGCTGTATACAAGAGACTCACCTCAGATCAAAAGACACAAACAGGCTGAAAGTAAAGGGGTGGAGTAAAATATTTCATGCAAATGGAACTGAGAAAAAAGCTGGAGTAGCGATACTTATATCAGATAAAATGGACTTTAAACTGAAGAACATAATAAAGGACAAAGAAGGGCACTTCATAATAATAAAGGGATCAATCAAACAAGGGGACATAACCCTAGTAAACATCTATGCACCTAACATAGGAGCCCCTAAATATATCAAACAGATTTTGACAGACATAAAGGCAGAGATCAACAGTAACACTATTATAGGAGGAGACTTCAATGCCCTGCTCTCACCAATGGACAGATTCTCCAGACAGAAAATCAACATGGAAACAGTGGCCTTAAATGACACTTTAGACCAGCTGGATTTAATTGATATTTTCAGAGCATTTCATCCCAAAACTATGGAATATACATTCTTCTCAAGTGCACATGGGACATTTTCCAAAATAGACCACATGTTAGGCCACAAAACCAGTCTCAATAAATGTAAGAAGATTGAAATCATATCAAGCGTCTTCTCCGACCACAATGCTATGAAACTAGAAATCAATTATAGGAAGAAATCCGAAAATCTCACAAATGCATGGAGGATGAATAACATGCTACTAAATAGCGAGTGGGTAAAAAATGAAATCAAGGAGGAAATCAAAAGCTACCTTGAGACAAACAAAAATGAAAACACCACAACCCAAAATCTCTGGGACGCAGTGAAAGCAGTCCTACCTAAAAAAGCAAGGAAAATTTCAAATCAAGAGGTTATCCTTACACCTCAAGGAACTGGAAAAAGAACAGCTAAATAGGCCCAAAGGCAGCACAGCGAAGGAGATAATAAAGACCAGAGCGGAAATAAATGAAATAGAGACCAGAAAAACAATACAAAAGATCAACAAAACCAAGAGCTGGTTTTTTGAGAAGTTAAACAAAATTGACAAAACACTAGCTAGACTCATAAAAAAAGAAAAAAAGAGAGAGGGCTCAAATCAGTAAAATCAAAAATGAAAAAGGCAAAGTAACAACAGACTCCACAGAAATACAAAAATACCTTAGGAAATTACTATGAGCAATTATATGCCAACAAATTTGACAATCTGGAAGAAATGGATAATTTCCTAGAAGCACACAACCTTCCAAAGCTAACTCAAGAAGAAACAGAAAATCTGAATAGACTGATTACCACCAAGGAAATTGAATCAGTAATCAATAAGCTCCCAACAAACAAAAGCTCTGGATCAGATGGCTTCACAAGTGAATTTTACCAAACATTCAAAAAAGAATTATCCCTATTCTTCTCAAACTATTTCAAAAAATACAGAAGGAGGGAAGGCTCCCAAACTCTTTCTATGAAGCCACCATCACCCTGATTCCAAAACCAGACAAAGACAGTACAAAAAAGGAAAACTACAGGCCGATATCTCTGATGAACATAGATGCAAAAATCCTCAACAAAATATTAGCAAACAGAATTCAGCA